GTACACCAGGATCCACAGCAGTGACCCACGAACACACCGAGTTAGGACACTCGGTAAGTCCCAGGAAGAAATTAAACTGTCTTGGAACCCGCAACGAAATTAATCAGAAGAAAATTGGAGGAGTTGGAAATACAGTAAATCCACTTCCCTCCTTAGCAAAGCGGGAGACAAAATGAAACTACTAAGTTAACGTAAAAACAAACACGGCCGTTTATAAAGCAAATAAACGCATACTTCGACACTTTTCAGGGAATCAAAATTTGTGGGGTTCTTCCCGTTGACCTATAACTCTGAAATTTGGCAAGTAAAATCGTCTGATACTAAAAGTACAGGGAAAGATATGAAAACTATACATTTGTTAATAAATCATAAAATAATGTAGTAAAAAATCATCGAGTTACAATTTCTCTTATACAACTCAAGAATATAAGTAATAGTAGATTTTAGAAACTGAAGATAGGAGGAATGCCTAACACCGAGTTGAGTACCTCCACCATATATGAGCCATACCCATAGAGGGGAGTGTCTAGGCCAGTTCATCAGATAAGTTAAAAAAAATCGATGGCCAGAAATACTAGAACGTGTAAGATTAAGGTAAGTTGAGTCAGTTACATATACATTAGTCTAATTAAGTAAAAAAAATTGACGATTTAAGCGTGACAAATAGCAGTGGGAGGGTCACAAAGTACCAAGAAAAGAACGATGACCTTAACTTTTATTTTTTATTTTGAAACAAACAATGCAGGAAGTCTTCTTTAAATGTCTACATAATTTTTCGTGCCTTTATTTGTCACATTTTATAAAAAATCAAAATACTTCTTATCGTCAGATTATTCCCTGCAAAATTATCGTCAGATTTTCGGCTAGTATGACAGGAATATCAAGCTGAACCGTCTATATAAAATCAAACGCGCTCGGGTATTTCGTTATTGCGATTTTTCGAATTTGTAGTTTGCATTTTCGATAATGCTATGAGCTTGTGTCACTTTAAAATCGTCAGACCTTTCAACGGGAGCATTTTTAGCATCCAAATAACATTTCCCCAAAATATCTGATGAGCCATTTTTGTAAACCAACATTTTTGTAAACCTATAGAAGCTTTTCCCACCACTGAAAGTGTATACATTAGATCATTTTTATTCATTTTATTACCTAATCTTTCAAATGCAATAGGTCCCTATGACTCTATACTATAATTATTTTGAAGAGCTCTGAATCAAATACGAGTATGTTCACTCTCTTGAGAGAATTCAATACTACAAGGAACGGCATGATTTGCTTTCAGAAGTAGAATTGAATCATTATATAGTGTTTTATTTGACCTTTTTTTTTTTTAATTTTAATCAAATAATATCATATGTCTTGACTTGCATCTTTCTGCCCAAACGCAGGGTTTTTTATCGGTGTAATTGGTTAATTTTTTGATGGTAAAATTAACTAAAGCTTAGAAGACCTTTTGTAAAAAAACAGCAGGTATTCTACCTGCTGCGTTCCAAAATTTTTACGTAAGTAAAGTCGCATCTAAACGTTAGTATACAATAAAACGTCATTGTATAATAAACATCCACACACATAGGCGTAAATACTCATTAACACTAAATCTTTTTCAATTTACCTTGTCCAATTTACGCTTCTATGTTTCTGTTTCGGGTACTGTTCAACAACAGTGTAAATATTGAATTTGTCTTCTAAATTTGTAGTTAGAAGTTGTTTTTATCTATATTGATACTAAGCTCACATGAGGTTACACTTGTAATAATTCTTGGTGCGTATATAATCAGTGTTTACTTAAATCTCAACGATGTCTTGTTACGTCAGAAGACTCTCGTAATAATTACTTCATAAAAGCATATTTAAGGTTCCATGTCCGTGTGGTGACGGATTAGGAGTACAAAGGGTCCCCACCGATATTCATCCCGTGGGTTTTATAAGAGACGACCAGAGGAACAAACTACGCAGGACAACAGCACTGTAAAGGGGAGGAAAACTTGAAACAAAGCCTATACCAACCCGTCTGGCCATGCATCGTAAGTAGGCCAAAATCTTCTTTCTAAGGAGACGCCTATGCCTAGCAGTGGACTATGAAAGGCTCAGTTGATGATGGCGATGAAGGTTCCATAGCGCTAACAAGAAAGAAGAAAAAGCTGTTTAACTTTTCCTGGGGTTTCCTAAGTGGCAGTGCTCGTGGGTCAATAGTACAATAATGGGCGTATGGGAAGGATTTAGCCAACAAAAACACCTATTATTTTTCAGCATTAACACCAAAAGGAAAATAAAATATTTCATCCACACTTATATTATAAATTTGAAAATTAGTTTGTTTGTTTGTAACTCTTTCACGCCTAAACCACTAAACCGATTTTAAAAATTCCTTCACCAATGGAAAGCAACGGTGACGGATTAAGAATACGGAGTGTCACCACCCCTATTCATCCCCCGGGTGTCGTAAAAGCCGACTAAGGGGACAAACTACGCAGGACAACAGCGGCAAAGAGAAGGAAAACTTGACACAAACCCTATACCAACCCGTCTGGCCAGCATGGTATAGTAGGCCAAAACCTCCTTTCTAAGGAGAGGCCTATGTCCAGCAGTGGATTATTCAAGGCTGTTGATGTGATGATGTAAACATAGGCTACTTTTTACATACACGCGGGCGTAGCCGCGGGCAAAAGCTAGTATTTAATAAATAAATGGTGCTGTAATGTTTTATAAAACGACACTTTATATGCACGCAACGATCAATGCGTAGTCTTTTTGATTTAGAGTTAGCCATTTGAGTTTATGCCTTCAACATTTAGATTATTATTAAGTGACCTAGATAATAGTTCAAGTAGTTTAGAATTTTATCAAACGTAGAAGTGAATCCATACTAATCCATTTAGATTAGCGTTCAAATCTACATCACAATTGCTGCTTGCTTACTTTGTCACTTATTTTTGTATTACTTGCAGTATTATTAATCAGAGATAATTTTTGTATAATCTTCATTGTTTTTCTTTGTGTACATTTGAGTTACGTTACGATCCAGATCTAAACGATGTATTTATGATTTATGTTTTAATTGATTGTAATGTGTTTTGTGCATTTAATAAACAAAATAAAAATAAAGAAAATATTATAAATGCGAAAATGTGCCTGTCTGTCTGTCTGTTACTTCTTCACGCTTAAACCGCTGAACCGATTTACATGAGATTTGGTATAGAGATAGTTCGAGTAACGGACAGGGACACAGGGTTTTATTTAGTTACTTTTTAAACCAGAAATCGTCCTTTAAGGGGTTGAAAAGGGGGGTGGAGGTTTGTATGGGGAATCAATACCCGCTGATCCGATTTAGTTGAAATTTGGTATACAGGTTCCTTTAATTCTTGAGGAAAGATATAGCCTACTTTTGATATATACATACGCAGGCATAAGTTAATGATTTATAAATAAAACTGCCAATTCATCCTCTGCAGTGTCATGCTAACTCAGTTTCTGTTTTAGGTATTTTCTATTTATAAATTATTTTGCTTAACGACTGCCCAGATAAATGTATTTTTGTTCACTGTATAGAAGAAAAATTAAGTAGTTTTGTCCAGATAATATTTTATAGTAGCGTCCCTGCCAAGTCGAAGAAAGTGAATCAAAGTCTAGGTACATTGATTTAGTTTTCTCGATTTGGCAGACTGCTTGCTTTCTTTTTGACCTTTGTTTTTTTTTCTTAAATAAATATTAAAGCAAATTTCAATCATGAGAGGTTGCTAGCTCTATGTTTAATTACGACTTTGAAAAATATTACACTATAATGTCATTGTATTGCCGTGCAATGGCCAAGTTATTGGTTTGTTTTAATACCGTCGATATAAAATATAGTAAGTTGACAAATTTTAATTAAGTTACGTATAAAAACTTAGCCTTAAGTTAGCCATAAATCCTTGTGCTTTCAACCAATAGGAGTTCTTTAGGCGGAAGAGTATTACAAGAAGTCGAAAACGCGCACGCGGTAATTAAAATAATATATCAGCCCATGAATTAATTGCTAAGAGCCTCGACCAACATCTTCAGAGACCCGCATTAGGCAGCTGGATTAAGGGTTTGATGCAGAAAGCAGTTCTTCTCGATCACGTATTGTAGGGAGGTTTCTGTCTCTGGAGTCCTAACCACCGGTATCTTGGTCCTTGTACCCGTTACCGATGGGACACTATTTTATTATACTAATAAGTGGTTTTTTTTCTTTGTTTCTTTTATGTAATTCATATTATTATAATTTATATGTATATTTAATGAAAGAAAGAGAATAATAATAAAATAATATTTTCGGACATCTAACACACAACGCCATGTAATTTCAAACTAAGCAAAGCTTGTACCATGACTTATTGAATACTTATACTTTTTTTTTGTAAATAACATACATAATTATACATAGAAAACACTCAAACTCCGAAACAAACATTTGGTTCTACCCGGGAATCGAACCCGAGACCTCAGTCGCAGGTGCGTACGCCACTATTGCACCACCTAGGCAGTCCTATAGGCGGTGCTAGAGTTGTTCAGCACACATTATGTGCGACTACTGCAAGACTCGTTCAGTTTTTGATGGGCTCATCTATAGCGTCAATGCTACGTCAAGTTTTTTAAAGTTCTTTAAGTACAATTCGAATCGAATCATTTCATTCTATTTCGCGTTTATGCTTTTATAGAGTTTTTTGCGTTTAGATACATTAGTTAATGAAGCAAAGTGTTGCCTAACGCTCTTATCCTTTGAACAATATTGTACTTAAGTACCTCTGTGTTGTATAAATACAACTTCAGTGTCAGACGAAACTATTTTGTCTTGTTTCACAGTTATTACACATTTAGCTGTTAGTAATCATCGACGTACCTTAAAATTGTAGTTTAATTAATGTTCAATAAATTCATAAATCAGGATTCTGCGTAAAATTAACTCCAAGCGCTGAATGACAAGAGTTTATGACTTTGGCTAATTTTGATTTTTTTAGTTTAAATAATTGTTTATCATGCTAGTTCAATTAAGTTTGGTGTTTATAATAGTATGGTTGCTGGTGTTGAGATGGGAACGGAGGAGAATGATCCAACTAGCCAGTAAGTTTGGCAGTCCAAATTTGTGGCAACTGCCTGTCATAGGACATTCCTATGTATTTATTGGAAGTGATGAAGGTAAGTTTAAATATACATTTGTCATATTCAACCAGACACTTGTCGTCTACGTAAAAGACTTTCATTTTTAGGGTTTCGTAGCCCTAATAAAGAACCATTATAGTTATCATACATTTGCGGTTGTCTGTTTTTCCACGGCTTATCGGTTCTTAGCACTGGAAAGCTATTACTTTTGTATGTATATTTATTAATTACATCACATCATCATCACATCAACAGCATTTGATAGTCCACTGCTGGACATAGGCCTCTCCTTAGAAAGGAGGTTTTGGCCTACTATACCACGCTGGCCAGACGGGTTGGTATAGGGTTTGTGTCAAATTTTCCTTCTCTCTGCAGTGCTGTTGTTCTGAGTAGTTTTTTCCCTTAGTCGGCTCTTACGACACCCACGAGATGAATAGGGATGGTGACACTCTGTATTCTTAATCCGTTACCACACGGGCATTATTAATTACGCTATAATACTGTATAATATTTTATTAAATCCTGCAACTCCTATCTACTTAAAGAGACGATTTGCATTTATCCATGACACACATACACGATATTGAGATCAACAGAAAATCTTACACTAGAAATTCCAACACACTCCACAACTTTTACTGATACATCTTTTACAAGCAGCACGCCTATGGAACTCCTTACCGGAAGCTATAAGACGGGCACGGTCAGTGAGTACTTTTAAGAGACTCGTCAAGGATCACTATTTATCTCTGTAGGAACTATGTGTTATATATCCTACATATATAACACATAGTTGTGTAATGTATGTAATGTATGTATGTATATGTATGTATGTATATGTATGTATGTATATGTATATTTATATGAATGTACGTATGTGCATGAATTTGTATTTATGTAAATCCATATTATGCGCACCACAGACTACATATCACTATACAGTATAGTCCATCTAAAGGTTGCCTGTAAGAGATCGCAGACTGCGATAAGGCCGCCCATTCTACCTCTGTTTTTTTTTTAAATTTTATGTTTATATTGCATTGTATGTTTTCTATCCAAGGTGTGCAATAAAGAGTACCTATCTATCTATCTAATACTAATATTTTTTGTGAAACAATTGTCGGCAAAATGTGGACGTTTAATTCCCTTCTGTCTAAATACACTACGCATACACTTAAAAATGTTTTTTTCGTCTTTCTCCTAGTGTAGGTTACATTTAGAGTCAAAACTATTATTGGAATCAGTACCTTCTACTACCTTCTAATATACCTTCCTACTTGAACTTGGCTTTGGAAAATCTGAAAAATCGTGATAAGTGGCTCTCGCCCTCTTTTAGTTTATTTCGTCCAACTCTTTTATTAAGTACTTTTTTTTTTAAATTTTGTTTATTATACAAAATATATTAAGTTGTTACTTATTTAACAAGGGCAGTAATAAACTACGCAACCCCATACTGCTTATAGCCTGACACGACCTTTCTCGGTCTTTTTAGTTTAATTTAGAAAAAGTTGTTAGTCATTTTAATGTCTTTACACCTTTTTTTTTTCCGTGCGGAAATCCCCTCGGATACCACCTATCGGTGGCATGTCGGACTCGAACCGACTAAAACCGCATGCCGTCTCCCGTACTAATAGCCGGGGAACCAGGTATACCATAGAAAGGAAGTCCCTGGTGGTCCGACATACCTCGGGCCATCTACAGACGAGTAGACGACCCCCCCCTAATGTCTTTACGCCTGAAAGCTATAAGAGAGCCTGTGTCGTGGATCGTGTGTTAAAGAAAAGGCTAGTAATTTTAAAACAAACAAAAAGAAAACTCAACCTATTACGTGCATTAATTTTAAGCATTCCTTTTTGTAAAATTATTTTATTGTTTATTTTAGATTATTTGTTTTTTGTCTTTCTGTTATGTTAATATAGTACAGTAATTAAGTTTGGCTGGGACCCGTGGGATACAGGTTTGCGTAGTGCAATGACCGCGTTAAATATTTACCTTAAAAGTTCTGCCACAGTAATTTAATTTGTGTTTATTTTCATTGTTAGGTTCTATTGCATCGTCATATCACCTTCCTACCCTCCATCCAAATTTATTTGGGGTTGGTACAATGAGTTTTCTACTTATTTTTTTTTTTATTACTCAAGATATCACTACTGCTTTCCAGACATTTTCATTCACATTTTCATTCACCAAAGCGAATTTCATTTCAGTGCAAAATGGTTTAGGCTTTTTCTTAGAGTTCTTTTTTCTCCCTAATATGTTGAATGATAGAGGAAAATGAAAGTAAAAATGTCATTACGCCGTCACAAAAACATGCTTTGGCATAATAAGTAAAACGGATAAAGTAGGAGTTAGGCTAAGGGATATCGTAAGTTTCAGCATGTGTAATTTATTACCATTAACGTAATATATATAATTGGTTTCTGAAGCACTATTGGACATACAAGATCAAACTTTTTGTTCATTAGTTTTTTGAATAGTGCTCATGATGTCGTGTGTTTATTTAATATAACGGTAACAAAACGGCTTTCCATTAGGTGACCCGACTCCTCGTTTGTCCCCTATTCCGTTAAAAAAAAATCTAGTCTACCACGAGTATTTGCTTATATTATATCTGCGATAGGCTAGCTAGTTTATTTTTCATAATTTTCAAGTTGGGCAAGGGCTGGTTATGTACTTACGAGTATAAATTATTTATCTGATAAACCGTCGAGAACTTTAGGTAGTATTTATCTACATAGACTAGTACCATACACGTTTCAACTCCTTATACGTAACGGGAGGTTAACTTTTTGCCAAATGCTGCGTACTTTTGCTAAACCTGTGATGTTACTCGAAACGTAATAAAACTCAAATTAATAGTCCTTCTTAGTACAGTTCTTTTTATACGATTTTGTTTTATTTTTCAACAGATCGCATGACGGCATTCCAGAAACTTGGCAGGAAAACAAATAATACCAAGGAAGGTATCATAAGTTTTTGGCAGGGCCATAAACTTTATCTTTGTAAGTTATTTTGGGTTACATTCTAGCATAATAAGTATATATTATACACATAACGTGTGGTTATATTTTCATATCGGATCGCAAAAAAAAACATAAATTTTTAAGATGTCCGATAAAACTTAAGTTTATGTTTTGAGATAGGAATAAAACTATCGACTTATCTACGACTAACAATTGTTCCGTACGGACTCATCAGAAATCTTTTCATAAAAAAAGAAAAAGGAACAAATTTAATTAATTGGAAAAAGAAATCAAATTTTTTATATTGTTTTTTTTTTAGATCAATATAAATTATTTAAATATAAATAACACGATAAGTATAATATTTAATACTATAATAGGTTAATTAGAAATGTTCCCCTAAAATACAAATTCATAAAAAACTGTTTTTTCTCATGCTATATTTTATATATTTCTAGTTTTTCTAACTTTCCTCACGCAATATTGTTATTGTTGCTGCTCTGACCTTTATATTTTATTCGAATAGAATTTACAATTTCTCTTACTATTTTATATTAAAAATATATGATGAACTTTATATTGTAGTAATCATTTTGATGCAAACAACTTTAGTCTAAATAATTAAACATAAGTAGGATTATTACTTCCACTCTTGCATCTATAACAAAATATATATCTCATCCAATCTCTGCATCGCCGAATTAGTTGACTGCTAGAGAACGCCTTAGTACCTCTGTCAGTGCATTAATTTGTGCATAAAGGTAAATTAAGTAATCAAAAATAAGAAAAAATAATCTAATATTATGATTCAAGTTGCTACATGGTTGAAAATACTACTTTTCAGTTACTATATTAATCCACCCTTTATTGCGTTATATTTTCCTAACGGTAAATTACTTAGAACTAATCTATTGTTAGTTTAGTTATTATTAATTTTCGAAAATTTATTTTTAGCGGTTAGTGACCCAAAGAGTGCTGAATTCATTTTAAAGAATTGTCTCGAAAAGGATGACATAATGAAGATCTCAAGATTAACCACTGGCAATGGCACTGTGTTTGCACCAGGTAAGTTTTTTTTTATGTAAGAGGGGGCAGACGAGCAGACGGGTCACCGGTCAAAGTGACTATCGCCGCCCATGAACGTCTGCAACTCAGGAGTCACAAACGTGTTGCCGGCCTTTTAGGAAGGAGTACGCTCTTTTCTTTAAGGTGTGAAGGTCATATCGGCCCGGAAATACCGCAGACGATAACCCGTTCCACAGATTGGTAGTGCGGGGCAAAAAGTGTCTCGAAAAGCGCACAGCAGTGGAGCGCCAACTATCCATACAAATTGTGCATACTACACACATCAAAGATCAGACTCAAACTAAGCAAAGCTTGGACGTTTATGTACTTACGTAATATGTACGTACATTTATCTTATATAATATTTTAAAAATATGTCGCAGAGGAGTTAATTATTTTTGGAATATTTAATGTTTACATTTAGAAGAAGTGTTGAAAGCTAAAGTTTTTAAACGATATGTTCTGTACAATTAAAAGTAATAGCTGCTTAAGGCCCGGTGTCCACCAAAACAGAGAGAGGAGACGAGACTAGTTTGTTTTAAATAACCAATCAGATTTTGTTATTTCTACATCTCTCCGCTTAGTTTCGGTGGAAATGGATCAAGCGGAGAGGAAAAAAGATGTCCCATTTTTCTATAGAATTTTGTGGCGCGAGCAAGCGGAGATATGTTTAGTCGGCGGTCAGGAGGCGCTCGCGCTGCCTTCTTGGGTTTCAAACTCTTGAAATAGTGTTTCATACTCGTCATAACTGTAACATTTTACATGGTTTATTATCCAAAATCTATGTTGCCGTTTACTCCTCCGAGGATAAAAGCGTAAAATAAAGTATCATTAGCACATAATGCCTATGATTATATACTTAATTTTTGTATGAGTATTTAAAGGAAATATTTTCAAGGCAGTTTTTGAACTAACATTGTTATTTTTGTGATATAGGGAGAAAACCAGCAGAGCTGTAGGTCATTTGATGGTTTTCGAGGGCTTTCTACCAGGGACATAAACGAGTCAATCGCAAATAATTCACATATGACGGACCATCGTGTGAGCAAAACAAAAACTAAACACCGGTTTTCTGCAAGGCCGTGGTTTTATTCCAGTCGAGCCAGCCATTATGTGCCGAAATAAAAAAAGGATATTTTATTTGCCGTAGAGTCATAATTCTCCCGTGGCAAAACTGTTGTGTTAAACCGTTCCACGGCTATGTTTATGGGAAGAATTTTATTAGTAAGGGACCTGGGAAATCTGGAAGGGACCTCTCTGAAGGGACCTGAGTACTTGGGTAGCAACTGACCAGTTGCTACCCAAGTACTCAGGACTTAACTTACATTAAATTACTTGGATCTTAACGTTTTGTTTTGACAAATCTCAGACAAGCAGATTGCTAAGTCTTTTATTAATAATTTTAATTAGATGAAGTCGTAATAAATATAGCTTTTTTATAGATTCTAAAACACGGATGAACAAACAAGAAAATCTTTTTTTTTTAATTACACACAACTCATGCATGCAAATATTTATATCGACCTGGAAGTCACGTAGCAGTTTATACACCGCGTCTGCGCAATTGTTAGAGAATGACAAATAAATATACCAATTAATTTAAAGAAAGGATAGTACCTATGTAATAGTTAAACAGGCTATATATAACTGTTAATCATCAGGAGGGATGTATACTTGTTTGCCCTTTTAATGGTGAACAAAACAGAAACTTTATAACAGGTGTTATAAGTGATTAAATAATAACCGTGTATTACTGTGTCCCTCACAAGCACTTTATATTGTTACTGCTCACCTATACTTATCCCACACTGTTCACCCATAACAATTTGAGCTCAATTTCTGGTTTTATTATTGTCATTGCTTTTTAAAACAGGTTTATTTCTTATTTTTAGTCAAAATCTGGAGACCTCGACGAAAAGTTCTTGCTCCAACTTTTAGCCCTAAAAATTTGTTGGAATTTGCCAAAATATTTTCCCGTCAGAGCGACATCATGGTGGAACAATTAAAGCCTGTTGCGCATTCAAAAGACGTCTCAATTTGGAATTTTGTAAATACATACACTTTGGATTCCGTATGCGGTAAGTTATTTCGAGAACCAGGACTACACAAATTATTGGTCACTTAAAATATTTACAAGTACAGAATAGGAAAATAACAAATATTAGAATGTTCTCAGGGTCAGAGTCATTTGCCAGTTGATGTGCCTGTTCTAGTGGATTTTTCTATACCAGAATGAACATACGATCTCGTCCCCTACCAGTTTCTGTAGTAATAGCCATTTCCTCATATTTTTTTTTTTTTTTTTTTTTTTTTTTTTTTTAAAGACAACTCCCGCATTAGGAATATATCCTGTGTCGCATTAGGAATATATCCTGTGTCGCACAAATAACACCCAGACTTGGAACAACAATTTGTGGATCACACAAAGTGTCGTCCCATGTGGGGTTTGAACCCACAACACTCGGCGTAGTAGGAAGCGGCGTGGCGACCGCTTAAACCACTACGCCATCCGTGCAGTCAATATGACTAACGGTTTTTCTTAAAAGAATACGCGTTAGGCAGAAGGGGGCCTAACGATTTTCCTTACCCCAATTTACGTTTTTCCTTTAGCCGATCTGAAAACTATTACGTTTCCGAGAAGGGTTGACTTTGAGTCGGCTTTCAAAGAAACCCTTGCAGTTTTACATATCTTATTGATCCCAAGTAACGTTAGGAAAAGGACTCAAACTCTCTTTATTTCATAAATAAAATAAAAATTGTTTGAAATCGTTTTTTATGTAGACTCTAAAGTCATAGATCAACACACACAAAAGCAACAATCTCTGTTTTGTCAAATAGTCATCATCATCATCAACAGCCTTTAATAGTCCACTGCTGGACATAAGCCTCTCCTTAGAAAGGAGGTTTTGGCCTACTATACCACGCTGTATAAAAAAAAGGGTTTGTGTCAAGTTTTCCTTCTCTCTGCAGTGCTGTTGTTCTGCGTAGTTTTTTCCCTTAGTCGGCTCTTACGACACCCACGGGATGAATAGGGGTGGTGTCACTCTGTATTCTTAATCCGTCACCACACGGATATCAACAAGATGTAACTGTGATTATGTAAATATAAATACCTATATGTAGATGCGAATATCCATATTCGTTACTTAGCATGGATCTTTAAAACCGAAGAATAAAACTTCAGTGGTTAAGATAATTTTATAAAATGGACATCAGCCTCTCCTTAGAAAGGAGGTTTTGGCCTACTTTACTACGCTGGCCAGGCTGGTATCAGGTTTATGTCAAGTTTTCCTTCTCTCTGCAGTGCTGTTGTTCTGCCTAGTTTTCAAATTAGTTTGTTTTTTGTCAAATAGTAAACAAATAAATTTAAAAAAAAATCAAACCCATACAAAATCTATGATCTGCCTGTGCCGATCTACAACCGCCCGTTTCCAAGGGGTTGAGCCTTATGAGAAGAAAGGGCAAACGAACTCATGGCCACTCTTTTTCAACAGGACAGGAAGTTTTTCATGATGTTAATGATATTTCTTTCAGAGTCAACTCTCGGTGTGTCAATACATGCCCAAAAGTTGATTGAGCAGCCGTTACTAAAGTCCTTGGAACAAATCACTATACTGGACTCGGCCCGCATGTGTCAACCTTGGCTGTATAGTGATACAATTTACAAAATGATGCCAGCTTATAAACGACATACAAAATGCAGAAAAATGATTTTTGACTTTATTAATGAGGTATTTAAAAAAACAAATAATTCAGTTCAATGGAAGAAAATAAAAATTGTTATAAGCAATCTTGACTTTTCAGGTCATCAGAGCTAAAAGAAATTTGATGCAAGAAGAAAAGAGTCTGCTGAAATCTGAGTCAGAACAAGGTACACAGTAATACAGTCTAATAATCGTTATACTTACTATTAGATATCACATATCATGAGCTACTTACTTTGTAGGCGCAGTTTAGTTTAGTTTAGTTTACGAGCATGGGGCTCGTATGTTTTTAGGGTTCCGTACCTTAAAAGGTAAAAAAGGAACAGGAAAAAAGGAAGGTATAAGATCACTTTCTTGTTCGTCTGTCCGTGTGTCACCACCGATTTTCTCGGGAACGGGTAGAACTAGCAAGTTGAAATTTATAGCAGATACTGAGGTCTATGGTGGTAAGATATGGGCAAATTTCGATTTTCGCGAAAACTTGTAAGTACCAAAATTTACCTTAATTTTCAACTTTTTTTTTTTACAGAATTTTCTCTTTACTTGTGCTGTAAGACCTTGCTTTTAATAAAAATTGTCAATTCTAGGTCAACCGGAAGTACCCTATAGGTTTTGGGTCGAAAACCTATATGGTGGTTCCCTTTGACCTAGAATCACGAAATTTGTCAGAAAGAAACGTCTTATAGCACAAATAAAGAAATAATTCCGAAAAATAAAAAAGTTGAAAATTAAGATAAATATTGGTACTTACAAATTTTCGCGAAAATCTGGGTAGGTACGGAACCCTAGGCGAACGAGTTCGACTGATATCTGACCAGTTTTTTTTTTTTTCTTATATATCAACAAGTCTAAGTGGTACATAATCTGCAGCCGGTTTCTAAACAATGTTTATGTAGTTCAAAGATTGTATTTAGATGAAATACAGTGGTACAGAGAGAGAAAGCTGTCCAAAGACTGGTCCAAACCTCGACTTGTATTGTATACTAATCTTACTATTTCCACGAATGATATTTCAAACCTTTGTGTCAACATTTATGTTCGTACCAAAAATATATTATTTTTCAGCTGTAAGACAAGAAGGTGTACGTTCATTTTTGGAGCTTTTGATAGAATCATCAGGTGGAGACAAAGGATACACAGATTTAGAGCTGCAAGAAGAAACCGTAGTTCTTGTGGTAGCTGGGACTGACACTTCTGCTGTTGGAACGTCGTTCACTATACTTTTACTATCCAAGCATCTGGATGTGCAAGAGAAAATTTACCAAGAGTAAGTGATGTTACATTGTTTAATCATCCAGCAGATGATACTACCTCATCTTAATAATATATTAATGATTACTTTAATTTCTTTATTTAATTAGAGCATGGAAGACTTACTGCTACAATTGTTAAAACGTTACCGATAACAAGTCACCTTATTTTTTCTGTGCTGAAATCCCCTCGGATGCCACTTACCGAACTCGAACCGACTAAAACCGCACGCCGTTCAGGTACCCGTAGTCGGGGAACGAGGTGTATCCTAGAAAGGAAATCCCTGGTGCCAAGACGTAACAATAGTCACCTGAAAGCCAATTACAAGTCTTCACTTTCTTTTTCTTTAAGACAACTCCCGCATTAGGAACACATCCTGTGTCACGAGGGCTTTACAAACATACATGAAACGGACACAAAGAACACTGACTCAGAACAACAATTCGTGGATCACACAAAGTGTCGTCCTATGTGGGGATCGGACTCACAACACTCGGCGTAGTAGTAAGCGGCGTGGGGACCGCTTAAACCACTGCGCCATCTGTCGAGTCATTATGGACTTTATTAATATTTTGAAGTGTAATCTACAAAAAAAAGAACATTATAAAACTTTACAGGCTAAATAAGCTAAAGCACGATCTTACTCATTCGATCACTCGATCTTGGCCATTTAACAAGACTAAAAGTGGCAATATCACTATTATTATTTATATCTTTATTGTATACAGTTAACACAAAGTTACTTACAAGTATATAGACGTAACAATCGGCGGTCTTATCGCTATAATAGTTGCGATTCGCTAAAGTCCATAGAAGTTTTCACAATGAAAGAAAACATCGAAACTCCAAATATTGACTAAATTATCATCCTAATATCCGTAGATTGCAGGAAGTATTCGGAGATTCAAAGAGACCAATAGTGCCAGAAGATTTACCTCGACTGAAGTATTTGGATGCTGTCATTAGAGAATCATTACGTTTATATCCTCCAGTTCCAGTTATAGTTAGAAAAGTAGAAAATGAAATTACCTTGCGTAAGTACCATTGTACAATAAAATTGATAAAAGAAAAATAAAAATCTAAAACAAGTGTTGATAAAATTTTATTGTATCTTTCAGCATCGGGTGAAACTCTAGTGAAGGGTACAGGAATACTTGTCCACATTTGGGCAATAAACCGAAATCCCAAATATTGGGGTGATGACGCTGATCTGTTTCGACCTGAAAGGTTTATTGACACCCCGTTAAAACATCCCGCAGCATTTATTTCGTTCAGCTATGGGCCAAGAGCTTGCCTAGGTAAGAATTTATTACATAAAAAGTTTAATAGGAGTATTAAAGCGTGGGGTGCTAGATCTCAAGTGTTGTGAAAATATTTTACTGACAGACAAAAGTAATTAAATTTATTATATTACAAAATACCTTGAAAAACACCCCACGCTTTTCACGTTAAAATTATTTATTTATTGAACTTACAGACAATTATTTTCTACTTTTTAGTTCGTCTAAAAGCGTTGTTTTTTTTTGTTTTTTTTAACTATTATTTATTTTCCCCTTTTTAGTCATTAATGATGATTATTATCTTATTAAGACTAAATTTTTTTATCACATATGCTTCAGCACACAGCTTTAGTTATGGAAAAAGCCGTTAATTCTGAAACTCCTGATTAGGATAATGGAACAAACTCTTTAAATTATTGCAATGTTATCGGTCCTTGATAAGTGTGCTAAGTTAAAATTAAGTTTGACTTTTGAAATGGGTCACAATCAATGCAAACGTTCCGTTACAAACATACACACCAAGCTATTAAAAGCGTGTTAAAAATATGTGATTTTCAATGTCTAAACATTAAACACTACCAATTATTTTTATCAAAACCTGTATATAGAAGGTTAAACAATACTTAGTTTTACATGTATTTAGTGGGTTGTAAGTCTTATTATATTAAGTGTAGATCCATTACAGATTGCAATTAATGAACAAAACTAAATGTTTATATAAAAAACAAAATTTAGATTTGAAGTTATTTAATGGCAGTCAACTATTTTACAGCACATACTATTGATACACAGATTATTACTTATTAATAGAATAAACTGGTTAGAATTGTAATGTTTACTGCTAAAGGGGATAAAAATACATAATATTATATAGTTTTAATTAACATGTGGTTTGCCACTGTGATCACACGTGTGTCAAACCTATACGCTATAGCTCAGCTTAAAGTAAACACTTAGTGTACCTTCTTGTACCTTCAACCTTTCAAAATACATTTAATTTTATCTCCAGGTTATCAATACGCAATGATGTCAATGAAGACAGCGATGGCGAACCTTCTCCGTAATTACCAGTTTCTTCCAGCGTCCAATGCAGGCACTAAACAACCAATAAGGCTCAGATTTGACATTATGATGAAGTCTGTTGAAAACTTCACGGTACAAATCAAACCTAGATTCTAAATTTTGAAAAATAAACAATTAGAAATTACTAATTTGTTTTATAAAATTATCTTAACCAATGAAGTTATATTCTTCGGGTTTAAAGATCCATACTAGATCCGACAGAAAGTAACGAATATGGATATTCGCGGATACATATATAGGTATATATATTTACATAAACGTAGTTACATTTTGTTGAAATATTTGACGGATTAAAAACACTGAGTGTCACTACAACTATTCATCCCGTGGGTTTCGTAAGAGTCGACTGAGGGAGCAAACTAATAAAACACGCTTAGGGGTTTCCAATAGAGAGAGTTTTATTAACTAGCTTCCCTACCAATTGCCACTAGATGGCGCTAGCATACACTGTTCTACTATTTATGTTACTATATCAACACAAACTACGCAAGACAACAGCACTGCAAAGAGAAGGAAAACTTGAAACAAACCCTATACCAATCCGTCTGACCAGCGTGATATAGTTTGCCTTTCAAAGGAGAGGCTTATATCCAGTAGTGGACTACTAAAGGATATTGATGTGTGATTTGACATATTTTCTTGTAAAAACTTTAAAAGGCAAATCGACAAGGTTGTAATATAGTCTTGAAATATAAAAAACGTAATTTACTCACAATGACCCGTTCAAGGTTGACTTGAATAGTTCGATAACACTACACGTAGTATTTATACCGCTTCGTTTTTTACATAAAATCATTTATGTAAAATTATATGTCCAATAAAAAACATAGGGTGTGGATATACTTGTTTATAGATTGATTTCTCTATAAACTGAGTCTTAGTTAGAATAAGAATTTAATTTTTGACAAAGAATGAATTCGAAATAGATTTTTGTTAGATGCTTCAGTTGTATGACTTCTATAGCATTCAATTTATTTCCCTCACCGGCGCGGCGGCGACTAGCTGACCTAATATGCTACGAATTCTAGAACCGGAATACTCCTTACCGGAAAGTAAACCGGAATACGTTTGGAAACACAGTAATGATTATTTTTAACCATTCATACCTAAAAATAATGGCTATAGTTAGCGTGTGAAAAGAAAACTTCAGATAAATAAAAGTAACCTGTATCGGACAAAACTTAGTACCAGTCACATTATGGTGCTAAAATACTAAAATTGGCAATAAGTAAACTTTTCTAAGACGATTTGCCCAGGCTAAATGCGAAATGATTTGATGAAATCCAATAATGAACATATGATATCAAAATGAAGAAAAACTTCAACTTGACTGGTCTACAGTGGTAATCGTTCAAAATTTTCTAAGTAGTGTACAACTAAAATAAATATCTAATTTAATTAAATTAAAAGAAATAAAAATAACAAACACCGCCAATACATATATCACAGACCTTCTAAATAAGCTAGACTGTCTTCTCAATAACTGCATTCGATATATCTTCAATCTTCGGAAGTATGACCATGTGTCTGCTTGGCGTTCCCAATTAAACTAGTTGCCTATTCGCTTGTGCCGCAAACAGCGTGCACCTACCTCTCTATTTTCATATCTCAACTCCCGTTCTCACCTACTTACCTTGCTCCCTACTTCCGTTACCTGTCTACAAATCACGATGGAAATCTTCGCTCAGATGACGTATGCGACGTATGCGACGACCGGATGGCATAGGGGTTTGTGTGACGGACTGCTATTCCAAAGGTCGTGGGTTCGATTCCCGCTCAAGCCAAACATTTGAGTGCATGAACATTTAATGTTTGATTTGGTCTGGGTGTTTCTATGTATAATATGTATGTATTTACAAAAAAAAAGTATATATGTATTTATATCAGTTGCCTAGTACCTATAGTACAAGCTTTGCTTAGTTTGGGACTAGATGGCGTTGTGTGAATGTAGTAAAATATATTATATTATATAATTATGACGTAACCTCTGTGGACCTACCTCACAATATTCCTACACCACCCAAAGGTTGACTGGAAGAGAATGTCCTGGGCATTAAGTCCGCCGATGAACAAAAGTGCATAAAGTTAAATAAATAATATATTTCATAGAACATCTGACACACAACGCGATCTAGTTTTAAAGTAAGCAAAGCTACATTCGCATTATTACCTACTTTTTTTTTTAAATACATACAAATTATACATAGAAAACACCCAAACTCCGAAACAAATATTTGCAAATCATACAAACATTAGTTCCGACCCGGAAATCGAACCCGAGACCACAGCAGTGCATACACTACCACTGCACCACCAAGGCATTATTTTTTTTCTTTTTTTTCTTAAAAAGACAACTCCCGCACTAGGAATAATGTCTGTGTCCCTGTGTCTCGGGGGACTTTACAAACATACATGAAACGAACACAAAGTACACCCAGACTCAGAACAACAATTTGTGGATTACACAAAGTGTTATCCCATGTGGGGTTTAAACCCACAACACTCGGCGCAATAAAATGCGGCGTGGCGACCGCTTAAACCACTACGCCATCCGTGCTATTACTAGAAACATACACACACAATAATTAATAAACAGCTTTAATACTCCTTTAACGTGTTAAACAATATTATTGTACCTTAGTAATACATTTACCTAACTATTATGACGACAATTGTTTTAACAACTTGATACATTATACATACCCTGTACTATAAAAGCTAGACATAGAAATATGTTTCTAAATAAATATAATATATGTTAAAGATAAATTATACCCGGATCCAGAACCACTGATCAAAATCATCAAACGAATCGGGAATCGAAGTCAACCTCCGGCTTAGCAGTCATGATCACCAACCATTAGATAAACAGGCCAGTCAACGATTTCTAGAACTATTCTAAAATAAGATTTAACTCGTCTTCAGACAACTTTACTAGTCTCACTGTGTCTTTCCATAATTCTTTTGAAGTTTTATCGTTGTACGCCCGCTTTACTGGTCTATTAATCTCGCAGTTTTTGAAATAAGCACCACTCACCTCTCCGCCACTTTTATCTAAGGCTACGTGTAAAGCTGTTTGTGCTCCATACCAGGGTGTCTTGAACAATAAAATACAGCCTAGTTTTATAAAAGTTCCAACTACTATATTAATTGAATTAAAGATTCTTGTACCAACTGCTCCTGGATCTACACAATTAATCACAACATCTGAACCTTTTAGCTTCTTTGTAAGTTCCTTCGCGAAATGTATAAGGCAAATCTTACTGTTGCCATAAACCAGAACTGAACTGTGCCAATAATTCATTTTGTTTGCATTTTTTATGTCTACTTGTCCCAACATATGCAAAACAGATGTAGTTACTATTATTCTGCTAGGCTCATCGCGTTTTCCTGTCTTTTTTAAAAGTGGTAAAAGCAGAAGTGTTAATAAAACTACTCCATAATAATTCACTTGCATTATAAAGCTTAAGCCATCTTTAGTTTCAAAATTGTTAGGAAAACCAATTCCGGCATTATTTATTAAAATATCTAATCTGTCTTCTGTTTTCAAGATGTCAGCTGCAAATTTTCTTGTGGAATCCAGAGACGACTGGTCCAGAATCTTGAAAACTACATCTTCGTTTCCCGTTTCTTTTATAATTTGATTTCTAGCAGTCACGCCTTCCTCTTCAAAAGGACACGCTATTATTACTTTAGCTCCTCGGTGTGCTAAATCTGTTGCAATCAAAACACCCATTCCTGCTGTGCCCCCGGTCACTATAACAGTTTTTCCTTCGAGTCTCTTCCTTGATACACATATTGCGTTCGAACTTTTCTGATATAAGGCAATAGATAATAAAATAATAATTATAATAGCTAGAACGAGTATGGACGTTATGACTGCCTCCATTTTATAATAAAACTGATTTACGTTTCAAATTATACTTTTGTAAAATACTTTGAAGCATAAGTTTTGAATAACAGGTTTTGTAGTTAAGAAGCCAATGGCACAATTTTTCGTTATGCAACTATAGTTTAGTAGTAGTAATAGTAATTGGCATAGTACAGACTATATAATTTTCGATAGGTTTGGATTTTAGTTTTAATATATTTTTATTATTATTTAGAAGAATTGAAATTAAAATTTGTAAGTATTGTAGATTTTCTCGGGACACAAAAGCATCCCGTCGATATTTAACAATGTTCAATCCTGTTTCACAAGAAATATCCTACAAGATACAAGATATTTTATTTGCATGAACATGTGTACATTAAAGATGTTAAATAATATTGCCTGATCAACTTGTTTGACCGTTACCGGTGTAAATTATAAAATTAATTTAACAATATCATCTTTCTACATGCAACATAAAATCGTTTAATTACATTTAAAAAAAACAAACAAACAAACAATATCCTCCTCCTCCTATCGAATAACATTGACAAATATTGTCACTATTAGGCGCTAGGGGTCATGGCTCAATTATGTAGATTAATGGAAAATTACTTAATATTTAAAAGCTGAAGCATGAAAATCAGTATTAAGTTTAAACAGTACACAGTTTGTACAGTAAAAAATGCACTTCAAAAAAAGAATACCAACATAAAATGGTATGTAGGACAAGCCTAGGTTATAATTGTACAATTATTTTTTACTAGCTGACCCGCGCAACTTCGTCTGCGTCTCTCAATAGTAATAAATTTTCTCCGTTTTTGAAACATTCTTCATTGGTGCTCCGCTCCTATCGGTCTTAGCATGATGATATATAGCCTATAGCCTTCCTCGATAAATGGGCTATCTAACACTGAAAGAATTTTTCAAATCGGACCAGTAGTTCCTGAGATTAGCGCGTTCAAACAAACAAACAAACAAACTCTTCAGCTTTATAATATTAGTATAGATTTCTAGAAATCAATATCTTTAAAAACAACTCTTGAACTAATAACCAAAACTTGTATTATTTTTATTAACACGATTGAGCCGGTTGTTCATATATCTAACTTTAAAACAGGTATTTGGTAACGTTAAAAGTGCTTATGGCTTATAATATTATAAACTTCGTATGTAGTTTAATAATGCTCTTGGTCCCTAATCGTTGGGGCAGATGCTGAGTGCGCTACTCCCAGCCAAGGTACTTGCGGACCCCTCAGTTGGGCACAAATTTACGCTTGCCCGGGTAATGGGGGATCTCTGCCCGGGTCGACTTTTATTACTCCCCCACTCATGGGTTTAAATATGTAATAATTACTAACTAAAACAAACAAAAAGGAAGAAAAGAAGGCGAAGGATGAGAATTAAAAGACAAGAACACCGGTGTCTTTGCAGGAGAGAGCAAACGTGGCAGCGGCTATAATAGAGAGTGAGAGAGACAGAGAGTGGCCACTAAATCCAGAAACTTTTAGAGTTCCTTTGTAAGGGCTCTTAAGGACTCCTCTTTCGCTATCGCCAGGGTCGTTGAGACCATCATGGGGGATGTGGCTCGCCTTCAGTCAGCTAACGACCGCTGGACGAAGCAGGTGGATGCTTGGGCGCTAAATTTGCCCAGTTTCTACACAACGGGACCCGGCTCCGCGGAGCCGACCCTCAATCCCACTCCCGGTTCCAGTGATGTCCTTGATGCCCATCTGCGCCAAATTATTGACGCAGTGGTGCGTATGCTGGACCGTAGCGGGCCTGGCTCCGACGAAAGGTCACATCAGCGCCAACTTCGCTTCCCGTTGCGGGTGGCCGCACGCAGCGGCGCGGTATCGGTGTCTACACCTACGGTCGCACCGAAGGCAGAACGGGTGGCCAACAAAGCGGAAAAGACGGCGGTACCAAGGGCCGGAACTACTGCAGCAAGGGCTGGGGTGGAGTTCCCTCCACTTCCCACTCCGACATCTGTGTCTGGTCCCTCTACATCTAACCCCATTACCTATGGGTGTCTGGTTGTTGGAGCGGCTAAGAAGTCCCGAAAGCGGGGTAAGAAGGCTGCCAATAAAACAGCCTCTACTTCGTAATCGTCTTCGGGGGTGGTAGCAAATAAGGAGAAACCGCGGACACTGCAGCAGCCCAAAATCGCGAATGTTGTAGTCACCGTATCCCCGGAGGCGGCTAACGGTGCACTGTGTGGTACCGCACCGTGTCAACGGAGGCAGCGTGCGTGTTAGTCGGAACTCCCCGCGTCGTTGAGCGTCGCAGCGTAGGGTCCTCACTTCAGTCATCGGTGGCGATTTCTTGCCGTCATACGCTCCATGGCCGGTAGTGATAGTTGTTTTACCGCGGTCGTGAGATAATGTCTTAGCAGAAGGAGACGGCGAAGAGGACCCGGGAGGATAATCTACACTCGGACCCAATTCGCTGCCGACGAACCGGGAGGCGGAGGCGCGCTTACCAGCGCCTCATGCCGCACTGAGTGTGGCCGCGGGTTAACGGGCCGGGTTTTGTCCCCTTCACTTGTCATAACGGCCAGCCACAATCAGGTAACGTCCGCGTGTGTGGACGTTGCGGGCAATTGCTAGGTGGGGTCCGGATGCCTTAAAAACAGCGGTTCCCGGATCCCTCCTATTACTGGCGCAGAGTGGCACACCGTGTCCAATTCCGACACACTATTCCGCCGTAAACCGGGTGACGGCCTAAGGGGGTTTACACACGTAAAAAAAAATGCTGAGTTCGCTCCATGGCGTAATGCGCCATGTCAACAGGTCACACTTGGCCACGGTACTATTATAATACAGTATTGTAACTCGGCCGCATGATAGAAATAAATGCCTACAGCCGCGCGGTACGTAAACATGCGTTAGGGCTGCCCGTCTCCAGCATTTTAGTGATATTTGCCTACTTTCTGTTTCTATTTAGATTTGTGATTGTAAATATCCTTTTTATATAAATAAATGAAATACTTTGTATATTGAATAGGAATTGTTCAATAAAAATGCGTGTTGTTTTTTGATTGGTAGATTTAATTAAAAAACATTTTTTTGTTTGAAAAACCAATCGGGCTTATAAATTAGCGACCGAAAAAAAACCTTCTATAAAATAAAATAAATGTGCTTTCTCCATACGCGTTACAAAACTCCAATCCTTAGAAACTCCAACACCTACCACCTACTCAACTTGAATGCAAGAAACAGCTGACGAGTAAGTAACTTTTTATCTCAGCTAATTAACGTCTCTATAAATTACCTAACCTATAACCTACAACTCGCAACAACTCAAAACAAAAATTCTTTGGTCACCAATTAATTAATTATTAAAAAGCTGAACAGCTGACTACGAATGTTTTAAAATCACAACCCTCAAACATCTAAATATTATATATGAGTCTAGCTGTTGTTGTTAATACCGAGAAAATAAAACCAGTTTTTAGTGGTATATGTTGTTATAGTAGCAGCAAAAACACTTTGTGAAAATTTCGAAAACTGTCTAATGACACACAGACGGTAACAATTTTTTTTTAGTATTATTCATACACACAGATAATAAAGATATATTATTAATAATAAAATACCACGTCTTTAAGTAGAATTTTCTTTTTTTTGAATTATGCAAAGTAACAAAACAAACATGCACCGAAGTTTAAACACAAGCGTAAGTAGGTAGGTACCTACCGTATCATGATTCATTCAGAACCGCATGTAACTCCCTATTTCACTCGTCTCAATAGCTTTCCGTTACTCTATTTGCTTTATTTATTCATCCAAACACCTTTTTTTCGTGAGATAAAAGGAAATACTTATCCATTAAAAAGACACACATTATGTACCTACGTACTAGTAAGTAAAATTATTTTATAGTCTTACTTTTCAGAGTTTCCAGGTAATTTAAAAAAACTTATGTCTGGATGCGTTATTGACGAATTCATACAACCAAAAACAGCACAATATTTCCTACTCGTCATATTAACTGATTTTTAGAGAAAAAATCGCGCGGTTATTGTTAAAAAAACAACACGCAGTCCGTTCGACACTGCGGTACAGCCGTGACTGTCTGCGCCCCGAGCGCACCCCGAGATCGAGGCGCGTAGGTATAGCTCCCGTTTCGTCCGTTTGTATGAAGTTGCAGTACTGTATTATAATAGTACCGTGACTTGGCACTATTATAATTATCAGTCAAGTGTGACCGCTCCCACCCGTTATCATCGCTAAGGGGGTTATCTCTTCTAAACTAGGTGTAGATGTAAAGCATACCACGTTCACTTGTTTTTTCCATTATAATTTATGTATATCTTTGATGCTGCAAGAGGAAAAATAGTAAACCGATCCGAGTGTTGTGGGTTCAAACCCCACATGGGACGACACTTTGTGTGATCCACAAATTGTTGTTCTGAGTCTGGGTGTTCTTTGTGTCCGTTTCATGTATGTTTGTAAAGTCCCCCGCGACACAGGATTTATTCCTAATGCGGGAGTTGTCTTAAAAAAAAAAAAAAAAAAAAAAATATATATATTGATGGTATTGGAACGTAAATTGAGCAAAATAAAAAACGCAACTCACGTCTCAGAAAATTACACTCGTTTGAGCCTCACTCCAAACTATTTAACATTAATCTACCTAAAAACACCGTTGCCCTTGACTTAACCATTTTATTTCAGCTGATCTTGATTTATTTTAATAATCAAAATTAAAAGCACTCGAAAAGATCAATACTTTGCTCTTGTAATAAAGTTTCAAAGTTTAAAAAAAAGGGTCAATAAATACATATTACTTGTTTACTTTTTACAGTAGTTTAATATACTGGGAGTGTTAAAAGTTTTAAATTTAATATTTTATTCATTTTTAAAGTACAGAATATTAAAATGGTTTTGTAGACTTGACTTATAGTATGTATGTCGTCCACAAACTGCTAACAATATCGAGTAAAACTTATCAGGTTACTCACTAGTTTATTATCAACATATTTCCATAAATAAATTTAATAACATTAGTTACAGTGAATATGTTTATTATCATATGACTCTGTAATTATTTACAACAGAGATATAGGTTACTTCGTGTCGTTATTTCGTTGTATATATACATATATATATTGTATCTCGTCTTTGAACAGATTCTTTTCATTCAGGTTTTATTTACTTCTTTAAAATTACTTCGTGAGCAGTGATCTTAGATGCGGGTGAAATTTTAAGAAATTACCATGGCCCTCTGTTTATTAATAAGTAATATGTAAATTGGTATAAAAATGACAAATTTAGTTGCTTGACAACTTTTCATAAAAACAAGTTAAATTCTTTTGAAACACTTATCTAATTCAACGTCAGTTAACTTAACAATTTTTACAGATTCATCCCAAATATTGTTTGTCATATCGACACTATAAGGGCTTCTCATTCGATTGTTTATTTTACAATTCTTGAAATATGCGTCACTCACTTCTCCACCAGTTCTATCCAGAGCCACATGTAATGTCGTTTGGGCACCTTGCCAAGGTGTTTTGAACAGCATCAAACCAATTAAAGTCAATATAAACCCAATCACCCTATTAGCAGAATAGAATATTCTAGTTCCTACCATTCCAGGGTCCACATTATTAATCACAACGTTGCACCCTTTTAACCTCTTCGTTAGGTCAGTCGAAAAATATAACAAGTATAATTTGCTGCTTGAATAAAGTTGTACCTTATAAAGTAAAGAGAAGAAGCAGTTTTTGTTTGACTTTTGAATGTCAACTCGACCACCAAGCCAATGCGTTAATGATGTAGTGACCAGTATTCTACTAGGTTCACCAAGCTTACCTGTCCTTTCCAGGAGCGGTAACAATAACAGACTCAACAAAAATGTACCATAATAATTCACCTGCATGATGAAAAGTATCCCGTCTTTTGTATACTGGTCTGTAGGTACTCCAACTCCAGTATTATTTATTAAAATATCTAACCTCATTTCAGTCTTTAAAATATCTTCCGCAAAATGTCTAGTAGACTCTAAATTTGATAGATCCAGTAGTTTAAAAATAACATCACTGTTTTCAGTTTCCTCTATAATTTGATCCCTTGCTTCGATGCCTTCATCTTCGTAAGGACACGCGATGATCACTCTAGCTCCTCTGTGAGCTAAGTCTTTTGCTATCTCGAGTCCGATTCCTGCCGTTCCCCCAGTCACTATCACAGTCTTGCCTTCAAGTCTTCTCCTTGACAGACATATTGCGTTGGTGCTCTTCTCATGGAGACCAATAGAGAGCATAAATATGATGATTATGCTTACAACGAGCAACGCACTCCACACTATAGCTTCCTCCATTGTGAACACGAATAAACTGATAATAAACTTTGAAAATATGTAGATGCGTACATGTTGCAGTAAAAGTTTGCTCTTCAGTGAATTTTAGAATTTTCTAATTAAATAATCAGTTGTACTTTTAACATTTAAATAAAGTTATATATATCAGTTGTACTTTTAACGTTTACATAACGAACTTTTAAAAATAATGTCAACAACTTCAATGTGGCTACATCAAGATGAATTGTAAATTCATCATGCCTTAATTTTGCCCCGTAGCAGCGTATTTTTCTCTTGTGTATGGGCCCAACGGGAAATATACTCTCCGAACTAGGACAAGTTCCGAGATAATAAACATAACACAAATAAAACTGAATTGACATCGAAGTAACAAATTATTCATATCATTTTCAATGCTTTTATTGTTGAAAATAATAACAAAAGGTTACATAATAAAAAATCTGATAGTTCAACCATAGCAGTCTCTTTGTCGAACAAAAATTTACGCACAACCTACAATTAGGTGATGTACGCGGTTTTACGGTAACATATACATGATATGTAAATACATAAATAATTAATACATTAGTATAAAGTAACATGTTAATAACTGGGTTTATTTTGATGTGACCCTGAACATACATACACTTCTTAGTTAATAAGTCAAATATCACACAACAAGAATAAAAGTGTTACATTATAAATGTCTATCAAATTCTATTGTAAATTTAACCAACAAATGAAAACAATATGATAAACAGTATCTTGACACCGGGTTTGACCAACATACAGTTGCATCTTACAACCATGTTAGTTCTACATTACAACAAAAACAAATTACAGAATAAATGCGTGGGGCTGCGCTAGCATGCAGACACCTTTGTAGGACTGGATGGTCCCACTTCTCGGACAATACTCTCAGGATGCCATTGGTGATGCCTAGCAGTCGATTGGACATTGACGCACTCCGCTTCCTTATGATCGCATAAATGTGCAATGTGCCTCTGCGAAGAATTCGTTCAAACTTTGTAGATATATCGAGGACCGATGACAATACACTAATTAAAAAAAAAAAAAAAAACTTGAAGTTAAAAAAGCGTGGGGTGCTTTTTACTATTGACAACAGGCACCAAACGCTTTTTTTTAAATTTATTAAAATTTATTTTCTATTTTTTAATTTGGTTTTCTAAAAAGACGTGTTTTTTTAGTTTTTTTAAACTATTTTTTTTCATTGAGTCATTCATTTATCAGAGAAGTCATTGTTTACAACAAATCTTTTCACGGCGAGCAGGCGATCGAACACGGCGCGAAGCAGGCACGCCTGTCGACAACCCTTGCCAAGATGCCTTAAACCGGGTCCGTATGGTCATCAATATTGGTGGCAGCCAATTATATTTTGTCCACTTAATGAAATGGTTCATAACGGTTATTGAAAAAGGTTCATACATCAAATAAACACAATCAATAAGTAAAACTAAAGATTTTCACTTATTAAATAAATTACAGTCAAAGAACAATCGGGTGACAACTTTGTACTCGTACATGCGACTCCTTGTACATGCTTTGCACCCACAATCTTATAATTATGTCAAGTTTAAAGATCAGTTAGATTGTTTGATACTTACATTATACTTTGTTATGTTAATATGCTTGTAGTAAATAAACACACATCATTATGTTATAATAACTTTGTTTTAATTTTACTTGTGTTTCTTTAATCACAATGAGAGGCGCGTAGTTTTTGTTAGTTTTTGTATCTTACTTGAGGGAACTGTTAATTTATTAATGTATCAAAATTCACGTCAGCAAATCAAACAAAAAATTGAGTTTACTAATTGCTAGGTGATGATAGGTAGGTAACTAGTGACATGTCGGGTATCTAATTCCGTATCAGAGAAAATCGGAGGGTGCAAAAAAGATGAGGGTGACTAACAATTTCTTAAGTGTAATTATATATTTCAGTCAGTCAGTCAACAGCTTTTAATAGTCCACTGCTGGACATACGCCTCTCCTTAGAAAGGAGGTTTTGGCCTACTATACCACGCTGGCCAGGCGGGTTGGTGTAGGGTTTGTATCAAGTTTTCCTTATTTTTGAGGTGCTGGTGTCCTGCGTTATTTTGCGCCCTTAGTCGGCTCTTACGACACCCACGGGATGAATTGGGGTAGTGGCATTCCGTATTCTTAATCCGTCACTACACGGACTGATTATAGATCGATTTTGCTAAAATTATTACCGTGATTAAATGTTAAACGTCTTATCTTTTAATACTTATTGAAATCAATAATGTTGTGAGTTACTAATATTATTAAAAGTATTAAGGTATTTTTAGCTATGTCCATATAACAAGATCAATCCCCATATTGTGTGTGTCTATTTAAGTAACTGCTTAAAACTATACAAATAAGTGACTGATACTACTTAGTAATATATCATTATATTTAGTTCGAAATTTCATCTGTCGTTTCAAGGTCACGAGTACAGTCGTCAACTAAGAAAAAACTTGAGGTCAATATTTAGACTCTAATAATCCGTGTCTGCAATTTGATTTTTAACACGTCACTAGTAAGTACACAGATAGCCACAAAAAATTACATAGCTTTAAAACACTTTTCTGATTTGAATACCGATTCTTCCCAAATCAATTTTGCAGTTTTGCTACAATAAGCACGTTTTACTGCTCTTTTGATTTTACAATTCCTGGAATATACTCCACTCTCTACGCCAGCTTTTTTGTCTAGAGTCACATATAACGCCGTCTGAGTACGTTGCCAAGGTGTCTTGAACAGTATCAGAATCAGTAGACTCACGACAGTACCAAATACTTTGTTAACTGAATAATATATTCTAGTTTACCACCAGCTCAGGGTCCACATTATTAATCACAACGATCGCTTCCTGTAACCTGGCTGTAAGTTCATTTGCAAAACATGTTAAATACAATTTGCTGTTTGCCTATTTTCCTTTTTTTTTTGAAGACAAAACGTTTGCCGGTCTTCTTCCAAGGTGGTAATACTTAGTATCAACGTTAGTAGAAATGCTCCGTAATAGTTTACTTGCATTATAAAATTCATACCATCTTTTCTAAGAAAATCTGTCAGTATTCCAACTCCGGCATTGTTTATCAAAATATCCAACCTTTTAATTCTTTTGATTCTATAGATAAAATATCAAGAAGTTTAAAAATAAAACTCATTGTTTTCAGTTTATTCTATTATTTTTGCTCTTGCTTCGATGCCTACAACTAAGAAAGGACAAGCTATGATCACTTTAGCACCTCTATGTGCTAAGTCTGTTGATAGCATAAGTCCAATGCCTACCGTTTCACCGGTCACTATCATAGTCTTCCCTTCTAATCTTCTCCTTGAGAGGCATGCTGCATTCGTACTTTTCTCATAAACTCCAATGGGGAGCGTTATAATGATAACAAGAGCTACCATAAACAACGCAATTAAAAACGTTGCTTCTTCCATGACCAATGTAAATAAAATGGCATTTACAAATAATATTGAGTTACGTTATAAGAAATTAGGCGATATCGATGTTGTTAAACTGGTATCTAGGGTTTATACTACCACTTCACGCTCAGACGAGTTATTTTTGCGAGGCACTCGTCGAGATATACGGAGTGCCGGGAGCATTGCACTCGGTATCTCTCGACTCGTCCGTTGCTCCTCAAATAGTAACTGATTTGTTCGTATGAAAGAAACTCATTAAAAAATAATATTATAGGGGACATAATAGTCTCTTTTAGGAACAGAAATCAAGACAAAATAAAATGAGAGGAGCGATATTTGTTAAGGTTTAATTATCTTAGGATTTTTTTTTATGTTTAAAGCCTTGTTTAATTTCAAGTTCATAAAAATGATGGACAGCATGGTCCTTAACAAATATGATTTTAAATCTAAGTTGAGAGACGTTCATGGGCGACGATGGTCACTTTCCATCAAGTGACCCGTCTGGTCGTCTGCCTCCTCACACTCTCCACAAGAACAAAACAATTCAAGAGCCAGATACATTTTTTTATCAAATTTACTTACTATTTTTGCCTTTAGCCGCCGAGCTTGAAGTGTTGCATTATTAGGTAACGGAATAAATTAATATTAAACATATGTTTTGAACTTTTCGTCTATATTATACGTTTGTACGTTCTTCTTAGAATACATTTTTTGTACGTCAGTAGTAAGTGAATTGGTATAATATTTATAGTATCAGAGTAATGGACAATATTAAAACTTTTTTTTTAAAAGACAATTGCCGCATTAGGAATATATCCTGTGTCGCGAGGACCTTTACAAACATAAATGAAACGGACACATAAAACACCCAGACTCAGAACAATAATTTGTGGATCACACAAAGTGTCGTCCCATGTGGGGATCGGACCCACAATACTCAGCGTCGTAGTGAGTGGCGTGGCGACCGCTTAAATCACTACGCCATCCGTGCAGTCTTTCAAACTAGTTCGGCATAAGGGTTCATATCAAATGATTGCAAGTCGTATCTACTCGTACCATTTAGCCTTAAGTAGTCAGTGTTAATGAAACTATTTCGCCTTGATTATTTATAATAGCTTTTAAATCAGCAGTTTTCAGTTTTATCGCCAATGCCTTGTGTATCATAACTGGACTTTTAGGCAAGGATCTTCGAGGTGATAATTGTTTAGTTGGTTTTAGATGTAGTTTAGATGATGTATGCATTTTAAATGTTAAAATAGGCTAACTATTAACATATATGATTAAATTATTTTCATTGTGCTTTAAATCACATATTCATTTGTATAATTTTAAAGTTGTAACTATTAAAACATACATGCATAAATAAACTGCAGAAACTAACCCAGAGTCCTCACATACAGCTTGCATTTCTTTAACGCTCACCGTCTGGTGTCACAGTTATTTTAGCTAAACCTTTCTTTAGTGTACTGCCAATCTGGTCATGGCACATTATCACATCATCACATCAACAGCCTTTAATAGTCCACTGATGGACATAGGCACCTCCTTGGAACGGAGATTTTGGCCTACTATACCACGCTGGCCAGACGGGTTGGTATAGGATTTGTGTCAAGTTTTACTTCTTTTTGCAGTGCTGGTGTCCTGCGTTGTTTTGCATCCTTAGTCGGCTCTTACGACACCTAAGTCAAGACACGTCTTTTGAAAATTACAATTCATTCTAGAACTCTTCCAAACTCTTTCAACCATTCGGCACTTGTTCTTGATTTGTAACACTACAAGTATTAATATTCACGTACGTACAAGTGTTTTAGAGTAAAAGTAATCAATATTTCATTATTAAGTGCTTTTTAAAAATAATACTGGCTATGTGATGATCTTGTTCTTGGCTCTTTTCTATTTTAGGCGTGTTATTTTAGAGTGCAGAGCACACTGTGGTTTTAGTCGGTTTAATTCCGGCACACGACCCAACCGCAAATTAATTATAATTCTAAAATTGCTCAAGAATTATTTCAAATCGTTAATTAAAAACAAAAATGTGATTGAAAATTATAGATCAACACAAACAAAGTTTCCTATGACAAATGTTATCTAAAGAAACTACATGTTTTAATAGCCTATGTCTAGCAGTGGACTATTAAAGGCCGTTGATGACGATGATGACAGGTTATTTATAACCATCCGTTTTTTAATAATTGAACCCTGTGGGAAGAAATCAGGCTAAGAAAGTCACTTTCCATATTTTATGCTATCCTAGAGTTATTCAAAAGTCAACAATTGACGAAATGAACAAAAAACTCTATCAATATACCTACTTGTTTTTGCAAAGTCATCTCTAGGGGTACTCGAGGTCGTTGTACGTATAAACTTCTTTCAATAAGTCAATGCCATATTATGCAATTGCTTTATTATTATTATTTTCTTTTATGTTAGAGGGGGCAGACGAGCAGACGGGTCACCTGATGGAAAGTGACTATCGCCACCCATGAACATCTGCAACTCAGGAGTTACAAACGCGTTGCCTGCCTTTTAGGAAGGAGTACGCTCTTTTCTTGAAAGTCGTATCGGTCCGGAAATACCGCAGACGATAACCCGTTCCACAGAATGGTTGTGCGGGGTAAAAAGTGTCTCGAAAAGCCAACGTGGTAATAAGGATGAAAATTTTGCCGTGTGGAACCATGGCGGATATTCGCGGCTGGTATTAGTCCGAACAATTCTTCGGAGCACTCTCCATGATATAGAGATAGAGAAAGCAGAGTGAAGCTACATCTCTACGAGTACGTAACGCCAACGAATCGAGCCGGTCGCAAATCAAAATTATTTATATACATTATATGAAAAAGGAACCAATTTGGCTTACCTTACCACCGCTGTGCCCTTGCCCTCGAAAAATTGTTTACGAAATTGCCGTGACATATTTTTTTCATTTTATATTTTACCATTTATTTTAAAGTGAGTGACTCCACACACACGCGTATGTACATGTTATCTATATTTTTACTTGGTATGTACATAGAATACATAACAAGTTGAAGTATTGAATGTTAATACAAATGAAAGAATGTAAAAAAGAGACGTGGGGTTATATATTGTTCAGCATCGCAGTGAATCACGAAATATGCTTACCATTTTAGGAAAATTACCAACTTTACTTGACACTTCTACTTTATTAAACTCATTTTATACTGCCTCTAGAAAGAGCTCAAAGAGCAATTCTATAAGTAGCCACCTTTCCCATTTCCCACAACTATATTATATAAATCGTGCAAGGTGATGGCTGTCCGTCAAATTTTCGTATATCACACAATACTAAAACAACATACATCGCTTACCTATCACGCTGATATTTCAAACAAAAGACGGAAAAATATAGTCTGTGCCTCACAATCAGGCTCAAAGTACACAGTAAAGAATCTATTTGAATAAATTATTATTCAAATAGATTCTTTTCTAGGTCCATTGGAGCATAAGTATTGTTAAATTAAATTATATCAGCTGAATAAACAAATTACATAATTATTTACAAATTTTGTCGTATGAGCAAACAAGTTACTTAAAATACGTAAATAAAAAAATTGCTGAACGGTCTTAGTGCATTATTATTGACCCTCTTATCACAGTTGTTGCTAGTTGCTTGTGTAATTAAAACATTTGAATATCAAATGTTTTAATGAATTTTAGTTTAGTAGATTTGTAAGCACTTCTTCGCCCGAGACACAGGTTCAACCTAGTTCAAACAAACAAAAAATGTATTTTATTTAGAAATTAGAGAACCATGTATTATAATTTATTGTACTCTTTATCTAAATAAATATTATTATTATTATTTTAAGGTTTAACGAAACTAAATTCAGCGAAATATCCTAGTTATATAAAATCACTTTTCTCTATTTCCTTGCATATTCATGGGATACTCAGGATTATTCTTATACTCCCTTTAAATAAGAATATTTTTATAGTAAATTGTATGTTAACAGTAGTAAAAATACAGGCCACACTAATGTACGCACACAATAATGGTCACACAGAATTATTAATACAAGAACACAAACATATTAAATATATATAGATTTACCTAGACCAATGCAAATAGACGTATTGTAGTGTAATAATAGATATTATGAAGTCTTAAAGTCTTTCATAAAGGTTTAAAACATTTTTCTAATTCATCGGGGCTTAGATTCACAAGTCTCATAGATTCTTCCCAAAGGACTTTCGCTGTTTTATCACAATTAGCGCGATTAACAGGTTTGCTAACTTTACAGTTTTTGAAAAATCCACCATTCACTTCACCAGCTTTTTTATCCAACATCACATGTAAAGCCGTTTGGGCGCCTTGCCAAGTATTTTTGAAAAAAGCATTTATGAATAATTTTAAGAAAAAACCTAAGACCCTACTTCCAGAGTCAAATATTCTTGTTCCAACAGCACCAGGATCTATGGTGTTCACAACAACACTGGTGCCTTTTAGCCTTTTCGCAAGTTCATTGCCAAATAAAACAAGACAAAGTTTGCTGTTGCAGTAGATTTGTAATCGATACCAATAATTTGTTCTATTTATATTCTCAACATCTATTTGGCCCAAGTTATGCAGAACTGAAGATGTCAATAATATTCTGCTTGGCTCATCAGGTTTGCCTGTCTTCAATAAAAGTGGTAGTAAAAGAAGAGTTAATAGAAACGAGCCGTAATAATTAACTTGCATTATAAAGTGCATGTGATCTTTTGTTTGACTGTCTTGAACATGTCCTACTCCGGCATTATTTATTAACATGTCCAATCTGTTCTCATTGGTTAAAACATCTGCAGCAAATGTTCTAATTGAATCCACAGACGAAAGGTCGAGGTGCTTGAAGACTACGTTTTCATTCTCAGTTTCTTTTACTATCTCCTTTCTTGCATTAGTGCCTTCTTCTATAAACGGGCATGCAACTATAACTCTAGCACCCCGATGGGCAAGGTCTTTTGCTATTTCTAGTCCCATTCCTGCTGTACCTCCAGTCACTAAGGCAGTCTTTCCTTCTAACCTTCTTCTTGATGTACATATTGCGTTGGTACTCTTCTCATGTATACCAATAATAAGTATTATTATAATCAAGATTGCAACTATGAGAAGGATTCCGTACATACTTCTTACTTTAACGCAGATCAAAAACAGACTGTCCCGTACTTTTTAAGCCATATATTTATAAACAAGATAAATTAAACTTGATATTCAGTCGGCAAACACTTACTTAACAATTTAAACAGTTTCCATTTTATTATTGCTTACGTGTGATATTTTGATTCTAATGACATAACGTGTCAAATTGTTGAATTAATCCTCGATAATAGCGATTGATAATTGTCCAAAGTTTTTGCACGTCGAACGTCATCTATACAAATAAATAAAATTGAAGTGTCGGTTTGTAATGTCAAAATAATAGGTTTTTTTATGCTCACACGATCATTTGAACGATACCTATGCCTAAAAAACCAGTTTAAATATTTTTTGCCTGTTTGTCGGTCTGTCTGTCTGTCTGTTTGTTCCGGGTAAGCTTTAAACTGGCTGGACCGATATTGGTCCACTGCCAGGTAACTGTCTTTATACGGAGTAACTTAGGTTATTTGTCCTCGCAGAAAAACCCTATAAAATTTTGCCCGATCCGGGAATCGAACCCGATCGAAGTCGCTTGTACCAGTTAGTGTCATATAAATCGTTCGTATAAAAATGCTTACTAACTAAATGACGTAAATTATGTAGATTTATAAAAATGATAACATTAAAGGGTCAATATTATTAGTGCTTTTATTACGTTTTATTGAAAAATTATATATCTAAAATTGTAATCCTACATACGGCTATCAAGTAAAACGCAATGGATAAAATGACTAAAACTGATAAAATGTTGAGTTTATATATGGTATTATGTATCAAGTACCGCAATGTTTATATTGACCTCATAATATTAGCAGATTTAGGTAAAATATACATACATTAAGATGAGTACTAACATTGTATACTTTAAAACAATTTCAATATAGTTGACACTGAATAATTGTTAAGGAACTTTACGGTCACGTACGTAGTAGTAAGTAAACATATTCTTTAAGCATATTGAATAAGATACCACATATTTTTAAGTGTTTGTTTGGTTTTTACGATGAATGTATTCGAAGGGCAAACTTGGTCTGTGAATTCGTCTATATACTAAACACTAAGGCTAAAGACTATTTATTTGTTTTGTTAAACCAACTTATTTAATTCAGGAAGTTTGGGCTATGTATCATTACCGGTAAAGGCAGTGAAGTGTGGGTATTGTTTGTGTGGAGGTTAAGGGCATTGGTATTGGTATTGGTTGTGGGCTCCGGTTTCCGCATTTAGACTTAAGATGGTCCCTAGTGCGTCGAGGACAGGTCGGCTAGGTGAGCCAACCAAGCTCCTTCCAGAAGCGCAGCAGCCTCTTGGGGCGTTCACAGGCTTCTAGGAGCGATTTTGTATCAGGATTGATACTTGCCCATTGTGTGGCCCCACCTGGCATTCCAAGATTACGTGGGCGGCCGTGTCTTCGGCATTCAGACATCTTCTGCAAAGAGGACTGTCTGTTGCATTAATGGTGAATAGTTGTCGGTTCAGGGCTACGTGTTCTTTTATGGTTCCTGCAACTATTCGGATATCTAGTCTACTAAGATTGTTCAGTCTGCAAGTAAGTCCTCAGAAAAAATGGCTTCGTAAATAACCTATTATTTTTTGTACTATCTAAAAGAAATAAATAATTACTATGGGTTATCTTCATAAGATAGACATAGACCGTCGAGCTTCACTTGTATGTTTGTTTGTAACCGACTCCTTTGGGCGTGATTTTGACTTGTAGATATATCGAGGACCGATGACAATACACTAATTTAAAAAAATAATAATAATAATAATAATAATTAAAAAACAAAAAACACGCTTTTTATATATGCAATGTAATATAAATTTGAAAAAAAAGCGTTGGGTGCCTGTTGAAATCTTCCAACACAATTTACAGCCACTTCGAAACAAATTGAAATTTCACTCACTTATCAAGGACCCATGACAATACAATAATTTGATAATTTTGGCCCATTATCCTGATCAGAATCTTCAGGATTAACAACTTTTTCCATACCAAATTTGCAACGTACTAAGAGGCGTGTTCTTAAGCTTATGTGACTTATTTCTTACCTTTTAGTCTCAATGAGAAAATAATCATCATTAATTACTAAAAAAGCAAAAATAAATTATATTCTAAAAACTAAAAAAACACGCCAGTCAACACCAGTTTAGACTGTCTGCAGCTGAGTGAGTTTTTACAACTTCGGTTATGTGCTTTACGATTACGCTGTCTAACCCAGGATCGAAGTTGGTTAAAAGGCAGTGGCAGCGTCGTTTCCGTGTGAATTACTATGCCCTTTAATAGATTGGAGTAGTACCCCATTTACTGTAAGCAATTGTACTGTAAGCAAACTGGCTTCTAATATGTCAGCACCGCAGTTTACGAGCACTGACTTCTCTCTTTTCTTTCCTCAACTCTCCATCGTTACCTGAATACCTCGTACCCCACTGCCGTTTCTTATGCTCAGATCATAACTGAAATCTTGGGTCAACAAACAATATGCTTCTCCAATCTCCTATGCCCCGCTCACACCTCCAACTTTATGAACTCCTTCTTCTACATCCAGACAGTTCTCCGGATGTCCTATAACCGCCTTGCATTCAAGACAAATGTGTGCGATCTTCTTCGGAGTGTATTGGCATAACAGTCACAACGCTAGTATTTTTTTAATTATATTTATATAAATTTGTGTAGGTATGTTTATTTATGTATTGCGTATTTCTCTGGACTTCAATTATGTTAAAGTTAATATATTTTTTTGCACCTACCGCATCATATTTCAACATCACCTAAAGGTTGACTGGGATAGAATGCTCTATGGCATTAAGTCCGCCTTTGTACAACATATGCATTAAGTTATAAATATATATAATTTTAAGTGTTGAATTTTTCGACCGAAGGGTAAAGAATATCTACGCATTAAATCAGATTTTCAATGCAGCTCAGAGAATTTTTAACTTTCAGATTGATGAAATACTCGCAGTAGACAAAGAAGAGATGTTCCGATATTTCGGTTAACAGACTACGTGATTTTACAATTGGTGTACTTCGAAATTTTGGACCGTTTGCCTATTACTTTCCGTCTGACAATTAACAAACCCAATATATTGTTGTGTATTATATTTTATTGTGTGTTTTCAAAGCATTACACGAAATGCATAAGATCTTATTTACGATTAAATGCTTTGCGTCTTTCGTAAGAAACTGCTAACAGATTTGACCTTGCTGTAGTTTCCGTATTGGCTATTATTTTCTATATTATAACAACGAATATAAAATTAATCGCGTCAGTGGGACGAATTTCTAATTAATAAATCTTGATCTTAAAATTCTTATGTTATACAAAGTGTTGTCTTTATGAAACAATTGGTATTATTATCAGATAAAAGTCGTTTTCAATGAAATTCCAAATAAGACAATACATTTCCTTAAAATTTCAAATTATTACGTGAAAGTGAGGGCATATAATAATATGATCCTGATATAGTACTCGTATAAAGAAATACCAAGAAATATAGTCATGGCATCCAAAGCTTTATTTCCAAGGTCACAGAGCCTTGTTAATCCTTTAACTATATGACGGGCCTACAAGAGTTCGGTTCTCACAAAAAATAATCTCAACCTGAATGAGTTTTGAGGTGGGAATAAGCTCTTTTCTTAAGGGTTAGACAGGTGTTAACAACTCGAACTGGAAGTTCACTTTTATCGGATCTGTGGCATATTCTGGCTACCAAGCCAATGTATAGTACAATTGTTTTGGTGAGATCCGCCAAGGAAGAATGGTCGGCGATACTGCTAGCTTACTTATGTGAATGGGGCTGAATTATACAATAAATATAGATGGACAGAACTGTAATTGGAATGAAATAAAAGTCTTAGAAACTACTTAAGAAAACCCTGCATTATTTTTCTACAAGACATCATACAAGGATAAAGACTACGAGGAGGTAGATGTAAGAAATAAAAGAAAGAAAATAAAATTAACAACAGTAATAGAACGTGAAAATAAAAGTGAAAACGAAAAAAATACTTAAGAGAACTGATTTCAAAGGCATTAATTCCTTCTTGTTACACGTCATTTTATAATCACATACTTTAGGTAAATTGTTTCTAGCCTAAAATTTTAAACCAGATCTCAAACAAACAATTGTGTTTAATTACGAGAAGCCTGAAAGATTTTAAGTTAATATTTAATTTTTATTATAATACTTTTATATGTTTGAAAATTGTGAAGTTATATTTTTTTTTTGTTAATATATCATACAGTTTTTGGAAGATTGTAGAAAGGCTACAGATTTAAGAATAATGAGCTTTGAGAAGATTTTAAAAATACTTTAGTTTTCATTATGTTTGGATGGCTAATTAAAAGTAGCTATTAAATTATGGAAATAACTACTTACCTTAATTAAGTACTAATTTAAAATTGTTTTACTTTAAAATAATTCACATGAGTATTTTTTACCTATAACAAAAATGTTTGATAGTTATTTTTGATAAATAGGAAACTGTTTTTTCTTTCTTTTATTAGAAAGCAATGCCTGTGCAATTTATGAATTAAAGTTAAGAAAGTATTAATTAGGAATATTGCTTTGAAAATTTATAATTTATACATCTCAATATCAAGAAAAAAAAACAGAAATTTTGCAAGATAATTTTAATTATAAATGCAATTATTGCATTTTGATTTATTTCATTTACATCAAAATTATTTGATCACATTCCAAATTTTAGTTAATTGCCCACATTAATTGAATTCTGAGTTAATTCAGTTTACGAATAATTGTGCAATTTCCTTAAATGTTCGAGATATTGGAACAGTAGATTTCAATTGCTAATGGGCCATAATATATATATATATATATATATATATATGGTAAGTAAAATTGTTGTGTTGATCAAGAAGAAGTTGTGAGTTTTAAAAATGTACATGGTTTGTAGGTCTGTGGTATATTCTGGCTACCAAGCCAAGGTATAGTATAATTGTTTAGTGAGATCTGCAGAGAAAGAATGGTCGGAGAGGTTGCTACATTACTTAGACACTTTCCAGATGCCGCTTGTTCGAAAATCTATCTTAGCCATCTAGGCTCAGAGCTAACCTCAAGTGAACGTTGTGGGACATTGTGGATTCCTTAATACAGTTTCTGTTTTATTCAAAAAAAAACGAAGAGCGTCTTTATTCCTCATGAACGCTGATTGTGGCGAAGTAAAAAGTGGCAAAAGGAATAAATAAACAAAAAAATAAAAGATCTGTCTTACGATGATCTTATCTCGATGATCTTCTGTGTTTTCCATGTAACTAGCTGCATAACACAATGTCGAGCATTGTTTTATGCAGTTAGTCTCACGAACAATTAAGGAATACTTCCTTGAGAGATAAACAATTAGCAAAAACCAAATAATTTAATTCATATAAAAATACAATTTACATTTTGACGTAATATTTATTAAATAAATTTGATTGTGACTTAGACATTACATATTTTAAACTATTAATTATTATCACACTATCAGAAATGGTCATGACACTTTCAACTTTATTACTTTAAAGTTAATATTTAAAATACAATTGTTGTACATGATATACAGTTACATGTTACACGTGTACATGTTATTGTACAGTTACCAAAAACATTTTTTTTATTACCTATTATTTTTATAAATTTGATCGACTTTTTTATGACAAAATGTGGTACAATCATAATTATTTTTTTTTTTATGTATGTTAAAGTAGCGGACTGGACGGGTCGCCTGATGGAAAGCGACTACCGCTGCCCATGAACGCCTGCAACTCAGGAGTCACAAGTACGTTGCCAGCCTTTGAGGAAGGAGTACGCTCTTTCTTGAAGGTTTGAAGGTCGCATCGGTCCAGTAATACCGCAGCCGATAACTTGTTCCACAGGTTGGTAGTGCGAGGCAAAAAATGTCTTGAACCGCGCAGTGGTGGAGCGCCAATTATCCAAGTGGTGAGGATGAAAATTTTGGCGTGTGGAACGATGGCGGAAAGTTGCACACAATATAACTTTACTAGCTATAAGCTGTCCCGCTTCACCGTGGAACATTAAAAGGAACTGAGGAACTGATGTGAAAAATACATAAAAACAATCTTTGAAGCAGCCCGATCGGCGCAGAACTATTTGAGATTTTGAGGCGGTACACAAAACCAAATTAACATTTTGACCAACTTCTAAGCTATAGTATTCCATAATATATAATTATACTAACGAGAATTAACTTGCTCACAATCGGTATTAATTACATACTTTTGAATTACCTGACGTTTCGACCGCGTTTCTGTCACGTGGCCTATGACGTCATAGTCAAGGTCATAGGCCACGTGACCTGTGAGTGTGTTAACGCCTGTAATCATAATTATATATTATTAATATGTGGAGAGAATTATTTAAACAAACATTCATAAGAAAAGCATACAAAGGTAAAATTATTAATAAATATATTTTGTGTTATACATTTCTACGAAAACTATACAAAAAAGTATATTTCAATGCATATAATGTCCTATCATGGTATGAAATTTTTTTAGTTCGGGAACTATTCGAACTACAGAACTATATTTAATTATAAAATACTTTGGAACGGCGAAATTAGTTAGTAGGGTATAGCAAGTTTATATGATGACCGTACAAGTTATACAAGTACCCTACATTAAAAAAATATTTAAAATTAATGAATTATGGCCTACATTCGACCACCACGCGATCTCTATTAAATTTAAACAAGTGTTATGTGCAATATTTACAAAGCTTAACGTTTATTGGTATATATTATTAACATAACATAATTATGACATTAAATACTTGTAGTATTTATAATAACTCTAACGACTAATCTAATTAAGTCTGACATAACATTATATTGATTTTTTAAATGGAGAGACACAGAGAGAGATAGAGTCTCTATCTGCTTTTGTCTCTGTATAGAGTTTATTTGATAAGTTAAGGCTTTATTAGCTTAGTCGTTTTTAATGACACATATATATATAAATTATATGTATACATACACCAACTCCTCTTTCCCTGAAGCAGTGAGAGTGTCATATTAAAACTTTCACAATTTGCAAGCGAGCAAGGCTATTACAACTAAACGGGCGCCTTGGGAGTCAAAGATAGGAAAATAGGGAGACCTTTGAAATAGATGACTATAAAAGAAATCGAAGGACATGATAGGATCATTATGCCGTATAAGCAAGAAGAATCTACCATAAGGTCAGGAACAGGTGCAGTTTTGTGACTAAACACAAAGTTCCCTACATTCTGTTACTTGTAACAATCAATTTACGTAAAGCGCAACTTCAAAGTAAAATTAGTGTAATTAAATTTATGGATACAAGACAATACACAAGAGAATTTAACAATAATGCAACCGGATTGGTTTCTAGATAATAAACCTTTCAGTGAAGTTAATTATTATATTTATATGATAACAATTCATGGTTTATTGCAAGCATTAAAATATGGTTTAGATCCACATTTATTATACTAGTATATCATTATGTTTTAGATACGTTATAATATTCCTAAAATAACGAGACTTAGCATAAAGTCTAAACATACCATACAAAACGATATAATATATAAATTAACAGTATCTATACAAATAAATAAAATTGAATTATCTGTTTATAATATCAAAATAATAGGTATTTTTCATGCTCACACGGTTATTTGCACGATACCTATAACTAAAAAAAAATCGGTTGCCTGTAAAGTCGGTTTACTGACGATAGTTGAACGTGACAACGTCATAAGAAAATACTGATGGAATGGTTGCATTTTACGAAAACATGTAAATGTATTATTGTATAGCAGCTGTCCACGCGGACGCATCGCTCACTCAAGTAGGAGAGAGACAGATGTCAAACGCTGTGGAACGCGGAGGCCGATTGTGCCTCTTTGTCGCTCGTTGCGCGCTCTCGCTTGCACTTCAAGCCTTAAATGGAACGCCTCAGAGCGAGGTAACGCCTCATGAGTCATGTTTTTTCGTGCGTGCAGCCGGCTCCATCGAATTATAAGACGTTGTCACGTCAAAACCACTGTAAATATTTTTTGTCTTTCTGTTTGTTACGGGTAATCTTCAAAACGGCTAGACCGATTTTGATAATATTTTACATCTAGTTAGCTGTCTATACAAGGAGTGACTTAGGCTATTTTTCTCTCCGAAAACCCCTTTTTGCCCGGTCCGGGAATCGAACCCACAAAGGCAGCGCGTTTCAAATTTCACACGAACGAAGTCGCGTGTACCAGATAGCATGGAATAACTTCAGAAAAAACACAAAAAAAAATTTGTTCAAATCGAGAACAGTAGGTATTCCACTTTAAACACACCCTTAGCATACGTTACAACACGTACGTCACGTAGTATATAAAGGTTCTACATATAGCCTTGTTGGCACTGATATACTGCTGGCAGCTACGGGTGGAGGCTCCCTCGTAATTAGAAGCGCTTCGCGAGTTCTTCTTTTGGCTATAACAGAAAGAAATATAATTATTCGGTCTCTTGCGATTGGAGTAGATTCGATCAAGTAATACCAAACCCAATTCTTCATATTCTAAGAACTTTTCTTCGTAATGAATGCTGGAATATTCTTTTTATAGAATCGTAGCAGAGTGCATTATAGTTGTATCTAGTAAACTAATACTTAGTTTAAATCGAGTCCTTTAAGACTTTTATTTCCTGGCCTACCGATCTCTTCAAGCATAGAATGAATCTCTTCTACATGGGACAATACTTTGTGTGATCTATAAATTGTTGTTCTGAGTCTGGGTGTTTTCTGTGTCCGTTTCATGTATGTTTATAGAGTCTCTTCCGACATAGGATATCTTCCTATTGCAGGAGTTGCCTTTAAATATATCCTGTGTCACGGGGGACTTTAGAAACATACATGAAACGGACACAAATAACACTCAGACTCAGAACAACAAATTGTGGCACACAAAGTGCTGTCCCAAGTGGGGATCGAACCCACAACACTCAGCGCAGTAAGAAGCTGCGTGGCGAAAGCTTAAACCACTACGCCATCCGTGCAGTTGAGTGTTTCTTTATTTAACTATAATTCATTTGAATAAAAAGTTTTTGAAATGATAACTTATGGGAGGGTGAACCGCTTTGTTACGTAACGCGTTACGGCGCCAGTCTGTCTGGCTTCCCTTTCTCTCACGCATACGGCAGCGATAGGCAGGCTCCTCCTCTCTCACTCTAACCCACAGCGCTAGCCGTATTTCGGACAGTCGCTTCACATCAAATTGAAGTAATAACCTAAGATTTTCTCAAGTAAAACAATTTCAATATTAAATAGTTCAACTTAGATTAGTTTAAGTTATCATTTCGCACACGTTTTTTTAAATCACTTGAAACATTATTTGTGTACATCTATCGCAAGTAGTTATTACCAGCTTGACGGATACAGTGACCGCATCAATTTACCATAGCATTGACGCAATAATTTTGAGTGTGTGCAAATATTGGTTTGAAGTAGTTCAAACTAACATAACCTTCAAATATCAAAAGATCCACAAACATACAGAGATACAAAAGTGTATTATGTGTACGTTAGTTACTTGTTGTGGGTAAATAAGAGATTTGTTTTTTTCTTTCTTTTTAGGGTTCCGTACATCATCCTAATAAGATCACTTTCTTGTCCGTCTGTCCGTGTATCACCACCGATTTTCTCAGGAACGGGGAGACCTAGCAAGTTGAAATTTATACCAGATACTGAGGTCTATGATCCCTATTAGGTGTATAAAAATCAACGTCCTGAGTCAACACGATAAAAATATATGGGCAAATTACGATTTTCGCGAAAACTTTTAAGTACCAAAATTTACCTTAATTTTCAACTTTTTTAGTTTTTCAGAATTTTCTCTTTACTTGTGCTGTAAGACCTTACCTTTAACTAACATTGACAATTCTAGGTCAACCGGAAATACCCTATAGGTTTTGGGTCGAAAACCTATATGGTAGTTCCCGTTGACCTAGAATCACGAAATTTGGCAAAAAGAAACGTCTTCTCAGTAAATGTTTACCCATGTTATATTTAGATCTACTTACTATTTACTTTTTTTTATTTAGACATGTAACATTATGCATGAAGAGATTTATCTGACAAGGCAACAAAGCTTGAATAGCGTGAGATCTTGTTTCAAAATTTGGAATTTGCATTACTAAGGCCTAATCTCTTAAGAGAAGAATGTATTATGGCTCCATATTTAGTTTGTATTGACTAATGTCGTATGTAACCACTACTAGAGAAAAAATAATGTAATGAAAATTTACCGTTAGAGTGCATACAGCACAATACTAGCGTGGCTATGAAGGCCGCGAATGGTAACACGCCAGCCAAAGCCAGCAATGCATGCTGAGCAGGCGTGTGCTTCGTTCTCGATACTCCACAACTAGTTATATTGTGTACATTGAATTTTTCTAAAATGCCTTGAAATTCTATTCCCAAGGCTCGTATGGTGGCCTTCATTGCCTTTGGTGTTAAAGCTTCGCCGGATTCTATCTTTCTGAACTGGAAGCACGGGCTGAAAATAAAGAAAAAAATTAAACAACATAGAAGAATATCATTTGTTCGTAACTATAATACATAATAATAAATCATTTATTTTTATTAACGAATAATTGCGCAAAATTATTGAAACCCTGACATCCAAGCTAGGTATAGACCGAGTTTTCTTTTATGTCAGTTTTGAGCAAGGGCCACTATTAAAAATATTATCAATCTTAGACTTGATATAGGTTTTTTTTTTGTTGACGGGGTGGAAAATCCCTTCGGATCTTCGGCTTCTTGGGGACCACCCCCACCACGGTCCACTCCAGGTCCACGGTTCTCACAGGATATATCCACCCCGACGGTCTTACTCAGGCGCCCTACTCCGAGGAGGACCCGGACCATGTTATGTCAGGCCGCGCCTCCCGGGGAAGCTGCGGGCTTCCCCCCGCCTATCAGCCCAATCGTTATAATATGTTGCCAACGGAACTTCCCCCTACAACTTTACTAAGTGTTACAATTAACTACTAAACTACACACTCAGCTGATGTTTTACAATATAACCTACTCAACTATTACTATAATCGAACTTTACCCAATTAAAGTAACTCACTAAGTTTGTATTCATGACATCAATGTTGGCGGTGATTAGGGGATTATATTATTGAAAATGTTATGTAAATAAGTTGTTTGAATGACCAACCACTCTTCAGCTTCGTTTCTAAGAGTACAATGTACAATGACCATATTATTGTAGAATAAATAATTCAATGTTCGATTCTGGAACGTTCACGTACAGTTTTTTTTCTAATCTTTCGAGAACTTTGAGATGTGCCGTGGGCACGAACACGTCCAATACTGGTCTATATTTATCAGCGTTAGCTTTGCTAAAATCGTAAAACTGCATTCGCTTGGCGTAAAATAAATAAATTCATACAAAAGGCGCGCCGAAGCAAGGGTCACTGTAATATAAATTATCTCAAATTCCTATTATCAGACTCTGAAACTGTTTAAAGTATTTCATTAAGGTAAACTTACCCAGGATTAGTAAAGAACGCTGTATTAGCATCATGTAGTTGCATCCTAACACCGCGCTGGACAAGTGCTTCTGACATCCTATCTCGAAGTTCATTGTACTTCTGCCTGGTACCACCCGGTATGACTAGACGTAGAAGATCTCGTTCTCTTACTACCACAACCTTGAGAAGAAAAGAAAAAAAATTGATACGAGTCTCAAAGAATGCAAGGAAACTTAAAACTACAAAATAAACTAAAAACACTATTACTGCGACTCCAATTGTTTTATATTTTAATTGTTAGTCCGGTCAATTTAGATCAAAAAATGATAGTGAAGTTACATAAAGTCCCAATAAGCTGAATTTCTGTGAAGTTGTTCAAAACATAATTATAAACAATGTCTAGAAGTTCCCCATCATTCCCCTGTAAGGAAAAAAATTAATTCAAGGTCAAAGGTAAAAAAATGAGTTTTCGCGATTTTCAGCAGAACTTCATTTCAACAAAAGGTTTATCATAAAAGTACCTCAGACAAAAATTGTAGATCATAAAATTATCTATAAAAAATGTATCAATACTTTTTTTCTTACGAGCCACCGTTTTTGAGATATAACGATTCACAAAGTTATAAAAGTTGTTACCGTCATAATATGCACACGTTTCACGCCACCTATGAGGTAGTGTACTTAGCGCGTTTTTTTTAACGTGGTTTCCCCAGTAGGCCTACTCCACGGGTCAGTTGTGATCCTGTTTAATGTAAAACTATTGCAAAATAACAGCAATTTTCAAAGATTGGGAAAGATAAAAGCGATGTAAATGAAAAAAAAGTGTTGAAGTTTATTCGTCTTATTCGTAAGTTTCTTTTATCTGTGTTATCCTGTAGGTTTAAAATGTTAATGCCACTAGAATCGGTGTATTTTGAGCTACGAAACTAGCTAAAGATCATCACTATAACGGTTAGGCCCAGAGTCCTAAGGAAACTCACCGAACTCCAAGGTCAAAAAGGTTAAAAGGTTAAAAAAAATGTATAAAATTGTTTGGAGTCGAGTTTATAACAAATCTATTGGCAATGAAAAAAAAAATCGTTACGAGATTTTACTAAAGTCATAAAAAATTAACAGCATTAAAACAGGTACCCTCAATATTCTGGATCTCGTATGACATGAAATATTAAATTTTATTAGAACCTTATTATTTTTCCAGCCTTCTGTTTCGGAGCTTCATGAAAGGCCTTAGAATTAAAAATGGAACCGTGGAAAAATACACTCTAAGCAATTTTGTCTTAACTTGCAGGTTGTACTAAACTAATTTGATTTGAATAACGATTCCATATTTATATTTATACTAATCACGAAACAGCAAGATTTAAAAGAATAATATATTTTTCTTACCTCAACTAAAATATCTTTAAATCGCTCAGGGTCCATTGAATTATTTGCCCGTACAACCAACCTTAGGAGAAACAAAAAATACTAAATTAACTAAATTTACGGACAGATTTAAAGTAACAAAATGACTTCAAAGAACAAATTATTAGCTACAAGTATTTTTTCCCTTTCAATGTATATTTAGGATAACTGTTCCTAGTTTTAATTAACTGTTTAGTACTATCAACAATTGCAAATAACACTAAATGGTTAATTATCCCAAAAATATAATAAAATCCATTGTAGGTAGGATTAAACCATACATACCTAAACGTTCCATCAGCATAATGAATCAAATTTCTCATAATTTTCAAATCGCCCGTCATATTATTTAATGCAATAACATCAGTTATATTACTTAAAGATTTACCCTTTATAGGAGATTCGAAAGTTATATTAACAGTGCTATAATTAATAGGTTTAGCATCAGGATCTTTATCGGTTGCTTTAACTGTAGCTATGAGAGCATCTACAGGAACATTGAGTCTGACCCCTACTGTCATATTAACGTTTTCAAATTGTGGAAGATGGTCGTCGATATCAAGGATTTTGACTAGAACTTGTATTTCTGAAGGATCCTGCAACAATTATTATTTGTATACTTAGTCTGTAAATTTAAGTCTTAGTAGCAGTTCTTAAAAAGACTGTGGACAATGAATGAAATGGGAACAAGGAAGTGACAAATGAAATATTTGTATACTAGAGTTAAGTCTACAGATCCTTAAAGTGTTCGTCTTATTTTTTTTCTTAAAATATTAACAAAAAAAGTTTAACGAACGAATAAACCCCATTTGTACACTTTTGTTTGCACTTACCTGTTTACATATAAAAACCTTGCTTGGTTTATTGTTTATACAACAGACAAAGTCATAAATATCTAAAGCGCATCACATGAGAACACCTGCACTGATTTTACAGTGCAGGTGTTCTCATGTGATGCGCTTTCAGGGGTATTTCCTTGTTATTTACATGAAAGATTATTATTCAGTATTTGGAATGTAAATATGTATAGGTTACATAGATCTACACAGGCATTTTGGCATAAGGCAATATTCATTTTTAGAGCAGAAACTTGGTCTCCAATACAGGATTTAAATTTGACGATTTATCCATCTACATAAATAAAACACAGTGGCTGCATAGCTCTTGATTTACAGAAGATACCAATACAAACAACAAACAATATAAAACGAAAGAAAATCTTACCAGCCTGTTATAAGCTTGGTTCAGTTTAGGGTTTGTACCATATTTAAAACACTTCACAGTTATCAGCAGTCTAGAAATCATTTCTCTATCAAGTCTGCCTGCAGCAATTATTAAAGCTTGGCTACTATTCGTCCTTTCCAACTTCAACAAAGCATTATCGTTTCCAGCTAAAATGATAAAACAAACACATCAACAATATAGAAAGTCCCTCAAATCAATTCAATAAAATGTAAGTTAATACTTTAGCGTATTGTTTGCTACCCAATTAAAATGTTAAAATTTTTGAGTATTGCTATTTAACCGATATTGGATTTCTAATTATGGTTTACACCTAGGGTATTTCATGGTACTATATTTTTGTAATCATAATTTAAATATAATTACCAGTAATTGCATAATCTATTTCTGCATTTTCTCCAATGTCTTCGTCAATAGCTTCAAACTCACCAATAACAGTGCCAACTGGGACTTCTTCTTTAATTGTCATAAGTAACGGAGGATCATCCTGTATAGAAATATAATAAATAATAAGTCTCATGACTCTCGGACTCATGTTAATTTCTAGTCGAAATTAACATGAGATAGTCATCAAGCTAATACAAGCAACTCATAAGTTAAACAGAAATCCTTCCAAAATCACTTTTGATTTTCTAAAAAAGAAAGTCTTGGGAATTCTATTCAATTTTCCACTTTAAACCTTATATCTAATTAAACTTTACAACATTACATATAAATAGCGAAGTTTTACAAGAAAACAAGATTTTGTCACTCTTCTTACCAAGTTTCTATTGAAATGCGGCTTGTGATCGTCTACATCATTTACCATGACTGTCACAATTCTGGTACTTTGTTGCGGTGGTTGTCCTCTATCCGTCACCAAAAGTACTAGAGTATATGAATCTTTGCGTTCACGATCCAACGATTGACGTGTTGTTATTAGGCCCGAACGAGAATCTGATAAATTTAAACATCGTGCATTAAATAAGGTTTAAAAGAAATTAACAAGCATGTTTTACTATAGTTTGGGATTAGACGGCCGTGTGTGAGATGTGTGTGGTAAAATTTTATTTTAAGTGATATGTACCTATGGCAAAACTTTTAGCATCAGTGTTACTTGGTTGTATGGAGTAATAAAGTTGTCCGGAAGGCTGGGTTGGGTCGTCTGGATCACTAGCTACAACTTGGAAAACGGGTGATCCAATCGTTGCGTTCTGAAAAATATTGAATAAAATGTCGAAATTATACACTTCGGTTTTGCTTAAAAACACAAAATAATTTTAAGTCAACCACATCTGAAGAAAAGCAGTAATTGTTGCCTGCTTACTAGAACTGCTCCAATACGAGTTCACCATTAATACCTGAAGTGCCATGCTTCCTACCTCATATACTGAACAGCTGTCATGATCGTAGGATTGGAACGTAATTAACTTTTGGTAAGGTTGGAAAGCAAAAAATAATAGTTTTAACATTTAACGTTCAACTTACTTCGCTAATGCTAAGTACTTCTCCCGCAGCTGGTCTAATAAATCTGGGAACACCATCATTGGCGCTAACGTCTCCAATGTACAAAGATAATGAGGTATCTCCTGCATGTCCACCACCATCGATTGCTCCAACTGGCAATCTATAAGGATCTGTACGGCCTCTGCCAGTAAGGTCTTTATGAGTTTTAACTTCACCAGTTTTAGGATCAATAGTAAAAAAACCTGACAAAAGATAAAGATTATGTCAAATGTGTTTGAATGTAAAACTTCGCTCAGGCAATATTTTATTTGTTTACCATTTGCTTCTCCTTCATCCAAAAATTCATACTTAATTTCTCCACCTAAGCCTTCATCGGGATCCGTTGCAGTTACATTTATGACACTTATGCCTATTGGTACATTTTCTGGAACTACGGCTAAAAATAAGGAGATAAAACTATATTAGGTATATAGGTAGATCAATGTTGAATATTCATAAGTATTATATATACATACAGAATATCTAAGTTATTTTATATTTAAATATATTCTAAACTAATTAAAATAAGGTATCATACCTGTGTAAACCTTTTTCTCAAATTCAGGTGAATTGTCGTCAACATCTAAAACATCAATGAGGATAGAAGCAGTGCTTTTCAACCTGTTTGCTCCACCTTTTGGAATATCAGAAGCTTCTATTTCAAGCCTTAGTACCGATTGTCGTTCTCTGTCTAGAGTTTTATTTTCAGCAACCTAGAAAATCCATTATATTTACTAAGCCGATATTTTTCTAATTTTCTAATTATATTTAAATATCATCATCACTTAGTAGGTCCTCAATTACATAGTAAATTATCGCATTTTATATCAAGTGGTCTTACCTGTATTGCACCAGTAACATTATCAATCTTGAAGAGTTCTGTATTCTCACCCCTTAACGTATATCGAATATCAGAGTAGCCATTCAGCTTGTCTTCCTCGCTTAGCACAGCATCTGCATCATATGCTTTGACTGTTACAATTATGTCGGGATACTTGACAGACTCTAGCACGCTTACTTTGTATAGCTGTAAAAGTTTTAAGTAAGGTTTTTAAATGTACTTTTGTAAAAATACTGTTTGTAAAAGTCATCTGATAGGTTACCTCTTTCTCAAATATCGGTGGATTATCATTTATGTTCGTAACTTCAATAATTATTTTAGCTGTGCTATATTTACTGCCATCATTGCTCGCGGCTTTGACCGTTAGTGTAAGATTTGGATTGTTCAGATCTTCATAATCAAGGTGTTTGGTTAAAACTACTTGACCGCTTAGTGGATCTACTTGAAGAAGATCTGTTTCTGAATTAATAACCTTAAAATTTGAAATCAAATGTCCTGATATAGGGTCTTCGGCTGTTAAAACAATAATAGTACTGCCTATCGGTTGCTCTTCTTTAATCTTATGATATATTATGGGATGTGAACTGGTCCATCCAGCATTAGTAAACTGAGGATTTTTGTCAGCGTATGGTTTTATATAAATAGTATGTTCAGTTATATCAAATTGCTTTTCTTTATTTAATTCTGCATTATCATCTACAACTTTAATCGTCAATATAACTATAGAAGCTTGACTATAATCTAGAGTTCCATTCACATATATTTCTCCCGACTCTTCATTTATACGAAAAAGATGTTGATAGTCATAATGAGAGCCAGGTGTCAATTGAACACCGGCTTTAGATAGTGCTTTTATTGGTTCTATTAGGCTATATCGCAATTTTGCATTCATATCCGTATCGTAGGCAACAATTTTGGTCACTAAATTGCCAATTTTCGTTTTTTCAGAAATATAGGTAGTGGCCTCAGACATATTAAATTTAGGTGGTTTGTCATTAACGTCTTGTATTGTAACAAATACAGTCGTAGTAGCAGTTTCTGGTATGGGCATTCCACTATCTACTGCAGATACAATAATGTCGTATCGATCTGGATTCACATCGCGATCTAAGTTTGCATCATTAGATATTGTTATTAAACCTGTCCTGGAAAGAAAAAGTTTATGATTGAAAAATTATAAAAATGTAGGGACTACATGAAAAAGCCGCAGTTGATGATATATTAATATTCTGGTTAAGCGAACATATCATGTGTAACAATATACGCACATATGTATTATATAAAGGTTTTCAAGATCAAACTTATTAAATAATAATTTTCTCTTATAAATAGTATATAAAAAAAACAACTCACTTTTCATTGATAACAAAATTATCTTTAGAACCAGAAACGATATTATATGTAAGTAAATCATCCAATCCGTCTGGATCATTAGCTGTGACTGTGGTAACATTTTGTCCTGGTTTGGCATCTTCCCGAATGCTTGCTTTATAATTCATGGGGTTCAAATTAAATGTGAAATCATCTGTTGTTTCAGGACTATTTTGAGAAACTGTATACTTATAGTGGTGGTAGTTTCCTTTAAAAGTAGGTCTTTGATTTCCTGGAACTCCTACTCTAATAAAAACTCGAGTTTCATTATGTAGAGGTGGAACGCCTGTAAAAATATAAATTATATTTTTAAATGTAATTGTAGAAACTACTCAATTGCAAGTTCATCATAACATCAGCCTATTGCCGTCCCACTGTTGAACGAAGATCTCATAGGTTATTATTTATCAAATTTTTTACTACTGTATCATCCATCTACTTTTCTTCTTATTTTACCAGTATGACTGAGATATTTTTAATTAAGGTTGGTGACCAATTACATAAAGGTGTTGATTTATCTTAATCGTATCGTTATTACTGTTGTTAGTGAAGGGGTCAGAAAATAATAATACTTGCCATAGTCTGTAGCCCTTACAACAAGTTCATATTGACCTCGAGGTGTGTCCATACTATCTACTTTCTCAACTATATTAATTTCTCCCGTATCTTCATCTATTGTAAATATATTGCCTTTGTGACTTATACTGTTGTCTGACTCCAAGGAATATTTTATTTGGCCGTCTCCTTGTGTAGGTCCGTCTGCATCAGTTGCCTATAAAATGTAAACAGATTGACAAACACGGTAGATTTAGTTTTCAGAAAACCAATAAATAGAATTTGCTTTCTACATACCCGGACAACAAATTGAGGTTCAAAGCTAGTCGCCCCATCTCTGATAGTTCTACTATACTCTCCTGCTTCAAACATCGGTGCATTGTCGTTTACATCAAGAACTTCAACAAAAACACTAACTGTGGAGCCTTTACCTCCTCCGTCTTTAGCAAAAAGTGTTAAACTGTAACTTTTTTGTTTTTCGTAGTCAAGAATTTGTTTTACATATACACCACCTTTGTTTTTGTCAGTCTTGAACATATTCGATCCAAATCCAGTCAAGGTATATTCAATTTCACCAAATATGCCATAATCTTTATCCGTTGCAAACACATCTCCAATTTTTGTTCCAATAGTTGCATTTTCTAATATATTAAATTTGTAAATGGATTCTTGAAATAAAGGTGTGTTATCATTCATATCAAGTAATTTTATATTAACGCGTGCTGATGAGAGTTCTTGGTTATTTTTGGAAGTAACTATATCAAAACTAAATAATCGTTTCTCTTCCTCGTCCACGTCGTAATCTAATTTTGTAGAGTCCTTTACTTTTATACTTATAGGAGTTCTACCTTCACCATGGTCAGTACTAATAGCAAATACGCCTTCAGCATTATATACATTACGAAGACTTAAACTATATTTACTATTTGACCCGATATCATAATCCTCTACATATATCGATAAACCAGGTATAGGGCTACCTTTTTCGATATTTTCAGGTATCGATACATCAAAGACAGCTTTGTTAAATTTAGGTACATGGTCGTCAACATCTGTTACTATTATCGTTACCGTTGTTACAGTATAGTCTGATGGTACTTCATTGTTGATTAGTTCTGTCGCCTAAAATTAAACATTTAATATATACTTGCATTTAATATCAAATAAACTAACAGATAACATTTATAAATAACATAAAACAAACTACATGAGCGTTTAGCATTAAATGAAAAGATCACAGAAAATCGTCCGTGTAGTGACGGATTAAGAATACGGAATGTCACTACCCCAATTCATCCCGTGGGTGTCGTAAGAGCCGACTAAGGGCGCAAAACAACGCAGGACACCAGCACTGCAAAAAGAAGGAAAACTTGATACAATCCCTATACCAACCCGTCTGGCCAGCGTGGTATAGTAGGCCAAAACCTCCTTTCTAAGGAGAGGCCTATGTCCAGCAGTGGACTATTAAAGGCTGTTGATGTGATGTGACAGAAAATCGACCAAATCGGTGGAGTTAACATAAATATCTATTTCAGCGGTTTTGTAAATATCGTGAATACCTTAACATAGAAAGTATAAATGCCTCCATTTTGCATCACGATATCACTTTCTCTGTCAAGAGGGACATCAGTAGCGACAAGCGTTGCCTTTCCGATGGGCCTTTCAGGTAGTAGCTTGAAGTATTGTTGAGTATCTCCTTCTAGGGTCAATAAAACTGGTCGAGGATTAGCTGTATCTCCATCTTTTGCAGTTATTTCCATAATGCTTGTATTCTGAAAACATATTATTTTGTGGTCTTTAAAACTTTGAATTAAACAATAATTTTAATTTTAATTCGTAATTAAGAATTATTTTATATACCTCTGGAGTATTTTCAGGGACATTGGCTGAATAAGGTGCATTTGTAAATGAAGGTGGTTGATCTTGTACATCCCAAATCGCAACTGCAACGCTTGCAAAAGCTTTTAAAGGCTTTGCCGATGTGTCATAGGCTTCGAGGCTAATGACGAACGCTGATCTGCTCTCATAATCTAACTCTTGATTAAGGAACAGTCGTACTTGATATTCATTTGGCGATATCTGAAAACGTTTTTGAACTATGAATTTATTAGATCTGAATATTATTAGACTATGCATTCCCCACAGCTTGACATTCGGTTATAATCACTGCTCTGCTCTAAGGTCCTTAGCGATATATTTTATGGCTTTAATTTTTGCTTACTAAATGTTCTTTTCATCCCAAAAGGAATCATCAAAGTGTGACTGTGATTGGCGTGGACTTATAAGTCCACGCCAATCACGTTGCGCGTTATATTAGCTATAGCTAATATAACGCGCAACATTCTCGTAAATTTCAATTCATCAAAAAACTCTTCAGATTCTTTAAATTAGTAAAGATTACTTTCAAATACTAAGTGATGATCGTATGTTTTCTGGTTTTCAATTTGAAAATTAATTCAGCTCAGTCTTTTGAGGTTACGAAAGACCACCAATCTCTGTAACAACTCTATAACTGGTAATCTCACAAAGGCACGGTCATATTCATTAATCTACGTCTCCCTGAACATCGTATTTTATCATCACTTATATACTAAAACGTAAAGTATTTTACCATATCAGTTACAATCCTAAAGGTTGCACACGCTTCAGTATCACTGCCCTTTTCCTTCGTAGTACATATCACTTTTATCCTGGCGTTTTCTCCTTCGTCTCGATCTGTCACCAGTATCTTTGGTTCGAGCTGCAATTTTAATTGATCACTATAGCACATAAAAAAATAAATGAAGAATATATAGAGTCAAATAATAAATATTGTCTAAACTATAGTATACATATACCTCTGTTGGAGCCAAAAAAATGATCGTTACTTCGTAAAAAACAGCGCTAGTATTATACTTAGCATAGTGCAATTAACAATCTTCTAGTTATAATGAGAGAGAGAGAGAGAGCGAATACCAAGTTTAATACCCATAGCATAGCAAATAACATTGTAAATACAATATATAAAAAGTAGGAACATCTTATGTAATATATTTAATATCTCGTCCAAAATAAGATAAAATTAATAACAAAAAGTAAAACGCATTATAGGTCATCATTCAACATTTTACTGCCTATTTCCCAATTAAATTTGAAGTCGGTGCAATATATATGTATATCTAAAAATTGCAAAAAGGCTGGTTTCTTTAATGATTCGGTAGCCTACCTGACGCCTACCCTCCTTGAAAGTGAAATCATTTTTAGACGGCGCGACGGGATGAAGGCAATAGGTAAATATTGGCAAGATAAGGATAAAACTAGGAAGCTAAATAGGATGCAGCAAATCCCGGATGGAAAATTAGAATATCTCTGTGACTACAATATCTCAAAGAAGCCCGAATTTCGAGCCATTTGCAAAGACTAAACGTAGCGTTTAGTCTCTGTATATTATGACTCAATCGAATGGTTCGATCAGTCTCCTATTTCCTCTATGTTTCCGTACACTACAATTAAACTTGCTAATAAAAGGGTCCGTGTGGTGACGGATTAAGAATACAGAGTGTCACCACCCCTATTCATCCCGTGGGTGTCGTAAGAGCCGACTAAGGGAAAAAACTAAGCAGGATAATAGCACTGCACAGAGAAGGAAAACTTGACACAAACCCGTTACCAACCCGTCTGGCCAGCGTGGTATAGTAGGCCAAAACCTCCTTTCTCAGGAGAGGCTTATGTCCAGCAGTGGACTATTAAAGGCTGTTGATGATGATGATGATGAATTATAAAGTTATGAACTACTAGTAGTTAAAGTTACCTCAATCTCAGTTCCAACTGGTGTCGCTTCACTAATATTAACAATATATGGCCTGTTGTGAAACACTGGTGGGTTATCGTTGACATCTCTTACGGGAATGACTCTCCGTAACGATACAGTATTAGGTTCTGTGTCAGCAATACCTTCATCTGGAAAATTGGGCAGCAGAAAATTTATAACTAGTTAATTAGGTAATTTTATGTTGCAATTATGAAGTACATGATTTTAAACATCTGTTACTGTTACAATAATTTTTACTGGAATTTTATATTTCCTTTTTTGATAATTTCAGCTGACTTGAGATTGGTTCTCAAATTAGTTGTATTTTTTTTATTGTTGATACCTCAGAACTCAGTCATTATGGATAAATAAATGGCAAAAATGTCTGTGCACATAATATATATATGTATATATTAATATATTTTTTGCATTCCATAAGGTATGACATTATTTTGGAACAATATTGTCACATATTTTTTGTAAGGGAGGTTGTTACAATTATTTGAAATACTTTTTCTATCACATCATTTTGTCGCCATTTTAACTATGAACGATCAGATATTTTTGCTGCGTTCGTGCAGACAAATATTCTTGACCTCGTTTCTGAGACAGATATTATTACCGCTGTGCCAATAGTTAATATTTATGATCGTGACATGAAATGTAACTTAGGTACACTAAGTTACATTTTCCGAGTACTTGGTATAAAAAAAATGAACTTATAAAAGTTAAACTTAGTGAAGTCGTACTTTCGAAAAACACTCTAAATACAGATACAAATTATAATAGTCAAAACATTTTATTTTGTACTTGTAACTTATGATGTATATGGCTTTGCTCATTTTACCTATTTGAGAAGAAACCACTATAATAACGAAATATGAAACGGCTCCGATACCAAAAATTGATACACACCCGTAATACTCAAAATAACTTCCAAAGAATCCTGCTCTTCTCTGTCTAATGTTTTCGCTAGCGTCACAACTCCAGTTTGAGAATCCACTGAAAAGTATTGCCCCGATATTGAGTACCTTAGTTGGCCGTTTTCTGGATCCACGCCTGGAATTGAAACGAAATGTTTTGTTAAAATATTGATGATAATACAATTTAGTGACATAAGCTCGTTTGCTCAATTTATTCTCACGACCTATTTATAAATGTCTAAACCATTTGCTTGCTACCTGAATGTAACGTAGATGATAGTGTTTTAAATGATTGTGTCTTAAATTATTTAAAACGATCTTCTATTTGAGATATACGGGAGTGCGTGCATGTTATATTTCTATATACATATTAGAAAATCAAAATTTTAATCCATATCTATAAATGAAGCAACTGACAGATTGAATCATTGAAGGATCGATGAATGCACAGCTGCAACCGCCTTATCTAGAAGTATATAATTTAGCACAAATGTTCCTTAGGTGACGTAGGTGTGTATTAAGAGAGGATTTTTTAAATACCGGGTGGTATTAAGGTTGCAAAATAGGGGTTGGAAATTTATATGAAATTTCGTTATTTTTGGTAGTAGCGTATCCTCTACGATGTAGTCTGATATTATCCACCACGCGGACGGAGTCGCTGGCAAAAGCTAGTTTTTTTATTAACTATTCTGTGTCGTTACTAAAATTAAAAGCAAAATGCAAATTTTTTTAGAACTGAAAAATTTTTAGTTCTTTATGTTCATTTTAGTAAGCCAAAACCTCCTTTCTAAGGAGAGGCCTATGTCCAGTAGTGGATAAATTAAGGCTGTTGATGATGATGATGATGATAGTTTAGGAAAAAAAATGTATTAGTTAAAACTTAGCATCACCTTTCAAATGATATACTGGCGTTCCAACGGGTGTGTCTTCAGGCAGTATGAACTGCGACATATCTCCTATCTGCGGTACGAAGTGAGGTGGTTTATTGATCACTTGCAAATAACATGACTGCAGTAGAGACAGTAATAGCAATATTATCAACGGGTTCAGGTCTGATATCACCGTTGGTATCTTTCGACGTTGAAATATTATTTCTGCCATCTGAAAATTAATAAAGTAATATTTACAACATCTTTACATCAAATATTACTTGAAGGAAGAATTATACGAAGGAAATTGGGCTATTTCAACGGCATGACCTTACGGCTCTGATATGAGACTTTGACATCGTCCCTAATCCAATCCATACTCCGCTGGAACGCTCTCCCTCTAGAAATCAGGATAGAACCCAGGCGCCTCTCATTCAAGATGAAAGTACGAACTGGCATTCTGGACACCCTAGCAGATTCATTACAACCTTAACGTTTTATTTATTATCAATATGTAGGTTTATGTATGTATGTAACTAGGTAAGTATTTGTGTATGTATATGTATTTGGGACATATGTGTGTGTATTTATCTAATTTTTTCTGTTTAACTTCTCAATAATTTTCTCCTACTTGACATATCAATCTCTAGTGCACCTAGGCCCACATTTCAGCACCACTAAAACATTAGGTCCGCCATTGTACAACACATACTTGTGCATAAATTATTAAAATAAAATAAAGTACACCTATAAGAGGCCTCCACCTAGACTCCAGATTTTGAGATCCTATCTTCTGTTGAGTACGGTATTAGATCTAATTTATAAAATTCTCGTGTCTCGGTATTTGTTACCAAACACCTCCGAAACGGCTGGACCGTTTTTTATAAAATTATGTGTACATATCGGGTAGATCTGAGAAACGTCTCTCTATATATAATATATTTGTATATGGCAAAACAAAGTTTACCGGGTCAGCAAGTATCTCATTAAAATGCGACCCTGACGTGGTCGACCTCCGACTTATATTTATTCCCCAATCATTTAGTTTAACTAAAATTCCTTTTCTACCATTATTTTCCCTGCTTTTGTACTTTTCCTTTCGATATACTCCTATCTTACCATCTTATACAAAAACTACCATGGTAACCAGACTGCTGATAAACATACTTATAAATTTCTAAATACACATATATTATTGATAAATTAGCCAGCCAGCCAGACCCAGACACGGAACAAATGATCGTCTTTGTCACACATTTTTTTTGTCCTAGATAGGAATCGAACCCACTAGTGTCACTAACCACTAGATTAACAATCTCGTTTCTCAAATTTAAGTATAACAAGTATACTTAAATTTGAGAAACGAGATTGTTTAAATTTCATGTATATTTTTAACCGACTTCAGAAAAGAAGGTATATTATATTTGTCAGCTTTTAAAGTCATACCATTAAAGAACTAATTTGATGTTTTATGTTTGTTGACTGGCCTGTTGGTCTAGTGGTTAGTGACCCTGACTGCTAAGCCAGAGGTCGTGGGTTCGATTCCCACCCAGGACAAATATTGTGTGATGAGCACGGTCATTTGTTCTGTGTCTGGGTGTAATTTATCTATAATATGTATGTATTTAAAAATATATAAGTATATTTATCAGCAGTCTGGTTACCATAATACAGGCTCTGCCTAGTTTGGGATCAGACTGCGGTGTGTGAAATGTGTGAAGTTGTTATTATTATTATTATTTATTATTATTTTTTATTTGTGCGACATATGGTTGGTGGTTCCATGTAAATTTGAAGAAAAGAAGAAGAGAAGAATTGAATAATACACTTTAATATTACAATATCTAGACAAGTTTAGGTTTCTGATAATTTTTCAAAATATATTTTTGTTGTAATAAATAAATAACTATGCACTACTTACGTACGAATATATGCGACTTTGTATTTATTTTGGTGTCAGTAAACTAGAGCGGTGCTTGTTGCACAATACCACAACCGGTTCGGTGACGGTTCTGTGGTCGTACACATGTACATTATAATATGTATAATAATACAGTCGTACATCTAGCCGACTCTAGTGCAATTGATATCTATATACAGCGTGTTGCAGAAGATTGTATTCATATTTTAAACTCGGATAGCAAACCTCATAACTAACGTGAATCATGAAAATGGATGTTAGTACTTTACGAATATTTAAAATTTGTGTATGTAAAATTTCAATGAAAAATTAAGGGCCTAAAAAGTTTTTTTGACGTGACAACGTCTTATAATTCGATGGAGCCGGCTGCACGCACTAAAAAACATGACTCATGCGGCGTTACCTCGCTCTGAGGCGTTCCATTTAAGGCTTGAAGTGCAAGCGAGAGCGCGGAACGAGCGACAAAGAGGCACAATCGGCCTTCGGCAGCGTTTGACATCTGTCTCTCTCCTACTTGAGTGAGCGATGCGTCCGCGTGGACAGCTGCTATACAATAATACATTTACATGTTTTCGTAAAATGCAACCATTCCATCAGTATTTTCTTATGACGTTGTCACGTTCAACTATCGTCAGTAAAACGACTTTACAGACAACCGATTTTTTTTTAAAATAACAATTTTTCGAAGAATTTTTTTTTTAAACCTTAATCGTACTTTACTATCATGTAGCACACATAATGACCATACTTTTGTGTAACGCTCTTTAAAAATAGTTAAAAATATAAAGCAAATGAGTATGTTTTTAAAATTATTATTTTTCATTTGTTAACTTATCGTTTTGTTTGTAATTGAGTAAAAATTCTCGTACCTTCCAAAAATAGATATGAACTGCGGAATTAAATGAATATATAATTTCAATAAAAAATGCTAACATAACCTTAAGTGTAATTTTATAATTTCAATCAGTATAATTTCAATCTTTAATTTAAATTAAATGCTAAACTAATCTTTTACAAGTGCTAAACTTTTATTGCTTTACTTAACACATGCTACGGTAAACTTTTTCTTTAACAGCTATTTATGAATCAAACAAAGTGTCCTCCCATGTGGGGATCGAGCCCACAACACTCAGCGTAGTAAGAAGCAGCGTGGCGACCGCTAAAACCACTACGCCAACCGTGCAGTCTAGAAGCCAAATTTAACTTTTTATGTTTAAGTTTACTTAATATCTTTTTTTATTATATTATTCTTGTAGTTTCAAATACGTTGTTACCCCCTCATTCAATTAGTTTTATAAACAAATACTGCTGATTAGATAAAAGCCAAAACCTGTTTACAGAATAGTTTCTATATACTGCAGACACGTCTATCTCCTTCCTTTATTTCTCTCTTTTCCAATTCTAAGCATATCTGTTGCACTTTTTTCTAAATTATTCATTATAATCGAGTTTTAAATAGTATTTTCCAGATACTATGATTAAATATACGTTATGTATACGCAGTAGCGCCATGAATTATACAAATTCACTAATTAGCTATACAATTTCTTCAATATTTGGTGAATAACAAAGTATAATTACTCGTATTAGTTAATTACATAGGTATCATTATTAGTATTAGTATAATTAGTGAATTTCATAAGGAATAACTTTTAAATAGTTGCAAACGTCCTTGGATGATAAAATAACATTGATTTTAATTTATTACAGATGTATGAAGTGTATGTTAATCGTTTTGATCATTATTTAGCACAATTTATTCTGCAAGGAGCTGGAACTTTCCGATATTGACCTGCTTGAGTTAATCCGTTCACTCCCAAATCTACCCACTTAGGCAATATCTGTTTCCTTTTTTTTCTAAAGACAACTCCCACATCAGGAATATTTTATTATCCTGTTCCGCAGGGGACTTTATAGATGTTCATGAAACAGACACAAAGAAACCCAGACTCAGGACAACAATTTGTGAATTTGTGGATCATGGAAAGTGTTGTCATATGTGGCGATCGAACACACGACACTAAGCGCAGTAGGAAGCGGCGAGGTAATCATTTCTATCACTACGCCATCCGTGCCTGTCTAACTTTAATTTCCTTAATAGAATAGCATATGCTTTATTGTACTATTACACTATGATAGATAAATATTACAGACGGATATGTACAATGGGCGGCCTTATTGCTATAAGCAATCTCTTACAGGCAACCTTAGGATGGACAAATCGACAGTACATGAGAATAAACAATGGATAGTCTGGGTCTATTTAAGCCACAGTAGTGTAAAAATAAATATTTAAGTAAACATGCACGCATACATATACATATTTTTATTGTTACAGATATCTATCTATTAGTACACATATATATTACAATATATTGAACAACCAATCTGTTAACGTGGAACGGGTTATCGTCTGCGGTATTTCCGGACCGATACGACTTTCAAACCTTCAAGAAAATAGTGTTCTCCTTCCTAAAAGGCCGGCAACGCGTTTGTGACTCCTGAGTTGCTGCCCCCTAATATAAAAAAATATACAGCTATTGAAAGCATCTGCATCTTTATGCTTATTATTACAAGCTCTGAAGGCCCATTCTCGTAATAAAAGTTCGGTCAGAATTCAGTTCCGATCAACTGTCGTTCTCGCAACTGTCATAAAAGGTATTTTCGTATAATAGTGAAATAGTATACTATTACCAAGAGTGGCAGATTATCGAATCAATTTTCGGTTACAATACGACATAATCACATTACAAAATACGTTTTATGACAGTTGTGAGATCGACAGTTGATCGGAACTGAATTGTGACCAAACTTTTATTACGAGAGTTGGCTTTTTGCTTATATATTATTATTATCTACCTTTCCTTTCAAAACACTCCCATTTTTTTGTCTAATGCCTAAAGTATCCGGTTTACTGCTTTAGGCTAACCTCTTATTGCGTATGTGGGTCAATATGTGGCCCTTTCATTCACACGAGAATCTACATGTAAGTGTGCGTGTATGTATGTATTTTATTATTTATTTACTTTATTTTTCCAATCCATAATACATACCAGGTTACCGCGTTACTCTGTCGATTCCTCATCGGCAAAGGAATCCCATTCAAACCAAAATGTTAGTTTAACTTTCACCGCGGTCGTTGTCTATGGTTCAACTGTTGAAGGTTAGTACCAGCTTGTTTTTTAAACATATTACCGTACATTAGCATATTTATACACTGCTATAGCAGGTGATTGTTAATTGATAGGCTGCATATGCACATGCTGTTTACTTTCGAAATTCAAATATTTATCAAAAGTAAGCACTATTTT